TTTTTGGTTTTTCGAGACAGGGTTTCTCTGTGTAGCTTTGCGCCTTTCCTGGAACTCGCTTTGGAGACCAGGCTGGCCTCGAACTCACAGAGATCCGCCTGGCTCTGCCTCCCGAGTGCTGGGATTAAAGGCGTGCGCCACCACCGCCCGGCACCTTTCTGTATTTTTATGTAACATGTCTACTAAGTCGGTTCATTTAGATTAGCTGATCATTGAACAGAGATTTCCCTGTACTAGTAGGTCTCTCAGCCTTTGCCTTTGTTAGTAGTTGGAAGTTTTTATCATGCAGATCCGGCTCACATTTTATATTTCTTAGATTGTCCCACTGTGGTGAGTAAACATTGGGTTTTAGTTCATTGCTAGCATATAGATACAACTTACTGTTTGTGTAGTGACTAGATCTTGCTGCTTTTCTAAATTCATGTATTAGTTTTTATACTTTTACTGTAGATTTTTTTGGGTCATCTTTTGTGGATGCTTAATAAGAAATGCCCCCCATAAGCTCAATTTAGTCCCTGGTTGGTAGTTTTGTTTGAAGAGGTTTAGGAGGTGCAGCCTTGCTGGAGGTGGTACATACCTGGGTGTGAGCATTTAGAGGGTATAGCCTTGTCCTACTTCCAGTCTGCTCTTTCTGCCCCATGCTTGTGTTTGAGATGGGATCCAGGTCTCCTGTCAGGATGGACGACGCTTACCTGTGGAATTGTAAGCCCCAATAAAATCTTTATTCTCTAAGTTGCTTTGGTCATTATGTTTTAACACCGCAACAGAAGAGTAACTAATTCATGTGTGTATAGGATTGTGTTACCTATAGTCTCTTATCTTGCCAGTCTGGATGTCTTAACCTAATTGCCCTTGGCTGTTGAATAGAAATGGTAGATATGTTTGGTCCTCATCTTATACCCAGTGTGGTGTTGACTGTGGGGTTCACATAGATAATCCTTATTGGGTTGAGAAAGGTCTCCTCTGCCTCTGTTGCTTTTCTTTCTTTTCTTCCTTCCTTCCTTCCTTCCTTCCTTCCTTCCTTCCTTCCTTCCTTCCTTCCTTCCTTCCTTTTCTGTTCTTTTCTTTTTTGTTCCATTTTTGGAGACAAGGTTTCTCTGTGCAGCCCTGGCTGTCCTGGAACTCCCTCTGTAGAGCAAGCTGGCCTCGAACTCAGAGATTCCCCCTACTTCTGTCTCCCTGGGATTAAAGTTATGCGCCACTGCTGGCTGGCTGACTGCCTGTTGAGCATTTTTAACATGAAAAGCTATTAGATTTCTGCCAGATGCCTTTTTTGGTACCATGTCTGTGATCTTATTTATGGTATGACATCTTTGTTAATATAGTTAATTATATTGATTCTTTTAAAGGATGCATTTCTGAAATAGAGTCCTGCTTGGCATGGTATATATTCCTTTCTGTATACTACTGGTTCCCATTTATTAAGTGTGTGTGTGTGTGTGTGTGTGTGTGTGTGTGTGTGTGTGTGTGTGTGTGTGTGTGTATGTGTGTGTGTGTGTCTGTGTGTGGTATTTTATTTCATGTTTGTGTGAGCACATGTGCCACAACACACATGGAAGTCAGAGGACAACTTTGTTCTTTTCCTTCTACCTTTGTGTGGGTTCTAGGGATTGAATTCAGATTTTCAGGCTTGTATAGCAAGGGCTTTATCCGTTAAGCCATCTTGCCTGCTCTTTGTTTGTTTTTGTGTTTTTTGTTTGTTTGAGACAGGGACTCACTGTTATACTATCTGGCCTAGAACCTGCTATTGCAGACCAGGCTGGCCTCAAACTCACTTTGTAGACCAGGGCTGGCCTTGAACTCACAGAGGTCTACCAGCCTCTGTGTGCTAGGATTAAAGGGTGTTCCACTGAGCTCAGTGTGTTATTTGTTTGTGACAGGGTCTTGGTACATAGCCCAGTCTGGTATGGAACTTAGGATTTTCCTGCCTTACATTCCTGCTGGGCATATAGGCACACACCACCATGCATATTAGCTAATACTCTTCAAAATTTTTCCATCTGTGTTTTTGAAGGTTGCTCTTGTGTAGGTTTTGTTTTGTTTGGTTTTGTACTTTCTCCTCTTGTTTTAATATGGTACTGGTAGCATCATTAACTAAGCTGTGAAGTATCATCCTTAAGTTTGTGTAGAATTGGTATTATTTCCTCCTTAAATGTGGAGTGGTCATTCATTACCAGTGAAGTCATCTGGACCTGATGTTTTCTTAGTGGGATAATCTGTAGTCACATATTTGTCTGTCTTGAGTGGATGTTGCTGAAGGCTGCTTCAGAAGTCTGATTTTCAAGATGCTGTTCCTCAGTAGATTGTAGATTTTCATGGGCTTTCCACAAGCAGCTTGTGTTTCTTTGTCATCTGTGGGCACTGAGCACTTGAGTCTCCCAGGAATACCAGTGATTATCTGTAGGTCACTTTGCCATTTGATTACACTGCAGAGACACTCCACAGAGATGCTTACTGTGGACTTTGCTCAGAGTCTTGTACCTGACACAGACATCTTTGTGTTTCTGAGTGCGTGTTCTTCAGTGGGTATGCTGGTCAGGTTTTTCCAGGAGGAGTTTGGGGTTGGAGATAAACTGACTTGAGCCTGTTGAGCCCTGATCTCCAGGTATCAACTGCTGGGTAGAGCAGGGTCATATAGGCTGATGTTGCCTTACTGGTCCTTGTGGTTAGTTCCAGGGCCTAACTCCTGGGAGGGTGAATGGCATCCCTATGTTTGAGGGCAGAGGCATCTTTTGATGCCTGTTTGAAGACAATAGCCAAACCATGACAGTTGGAATTCATGCTTACCAATCTTGGCTGGACTCTCCATATCCTAATTTCCTCCACACTGTTGTCACCAGAACAGTGTAAACACAGAGGAGAACCATTCATGTGCCATTCTAAGAGGACTTGACTTAGGTGTTTCATGTGACCCAGGGTCTGGGCTCTGGGGCTCTATAGACTGTAGTTGGTTGTTTTTTTACTCTGGCCTTTGGGGGGCCCACCACCCAGCTCTCGAATAAGTACACATGGAGACTTATTACTACTCATAAATGCCCGACCTTAGCTTGGCTTATTTCTAGCCAGTTTTTTCTTAAATTGTCCCGTCTACCTCTTGCCTCTGGGCTTTTATCTTTGTCCTATATATCTTTCTTTACTTCTTACTTTGTGACTTGCTGTGTAGCTGGGTGACTGGCCCCTAGAGTCCTCCTCCTTCCCTCACTCCTAGATCTCTCTTTTTTCTTCTCCTTGTTCTCTTGCTCTTTCTTCTTTTCCTCCCAGATTTCTCCTTCTATTTATTCTCTCTGCCTGCTAGCCCTGCCTATCCTTTCTCCTGCCTCTGCTATTGGCCGTTCAGCTCTTCATTAGACCGTCCGGTGTTTTAGACAGGCAATGTAACACAGCTTCACAGAGTTAAATGCAACATAAAAGACTACAACACGCCGGGCGCACGCCTTTAATCCCAGCACTCGGGAGGCAGAGCCAGGCGGATCTCTGTGAGTTCGAGGCCAGCCTGGTCTACAGAGTGAGATCCAGGAAAGGCGCAAAGCTACACAGAGAAACCCTGTCTCAAAAAACCAAAAAAAAAAAAAAAAAGACTACAACACAACTTTACATCATCAAAATGTTTCACAGCATAAACAAACATAACACACCTTAAAATAATATTCCACAACAGTAGACGGCTACCTAGTAGGCTGGTGAGAGACTTTCCGCTCCCAGCAGAGATCCTCTGGCCAGTGAGTGAGCTTTATTGTTTTCATGTTTGTTTCAAGCTCTTTGTTCCTATTTGCTTGTTAACTGAAAAATTTATCTTTGCTCTAAGTCTCCTGGGGAGTCTGGTCTAGGTTGTATTATGTTCCTGAACAGGATCCATTGAACGACTAATTTTCAGTACCTCAGAATGTGGCCTTTGGAGACTAGGTTGCTACAGTTATTATTTATTGACTTGTGGTTGAATAATTGTGACTGGTTTTCCAGAGGTGAGAAACAAAGAGACTAAGTAAAGATTGTCTTGGTGTTGCCATAAGCCAAAGGACCTGGGCTGCCAGAAGCTGGATCTTCCCATGTAGTCTCTGCAGAGGGAATACAGCTTTGCTGACTACCCTGAATTTTACTTCTTGCTTTTAGAATTGTGAGAGAACACACTATTATTGCTTAAAGTCACCCAGTTCGTGTCCAGATGTGTGTTGCTTAGATGATTTACTTATGTAAACTCTGTTGAGGGTACCTGCACAAACTAGGATGACTAATGTTGCTAGGTGATAAAATCCTATGGGACTACCCTTGTGTATATGATCCACCATCAACAGGTAGATTTATCAGTGCATGACTGTACTCTGTTTCTGCAGTCTGTCACAGAGATGGTCTGTGCTATAGTGTGAGCTGAGCTGTGTGGCCTCTTCTATTCACTGAGTATAGTGTCAGTCAGAGATCAAGGCTGGAGAGGTTCTGTTAGCTACTAATTCTGAGCCTCTGTCCTTTGTCCCTTGCATTTCATGGCTGTTTTAGCTACCCCTAGCCTACCTGAGTCTTGCTGTGCAAAGTTTCTCTCCCCATGTGCCTTAGTTACTTTTCTATTGCTCTGACAAAACACTATGACCAAGGCAACTTATAGAAGAGTTTATTGGGGCTTACAGTTTCAGAGGGTTTGTTCATGACCATCATGGTGAGAAGCATGGTGGCAGGCAGGCAGGCAGGCTTGGCACTCAAGAAGTAGCCAAGAGCTCACATCTCATCCACAAGCAGGAGGCTAGGTGAGGGGGTGAATCTAACTAGGAATGGTATGGGCTTTTGAAAGCCCAAAGCCCACCCACAGTGACACACCTTCTCCAACAAGGCCACACCTCCTAATCCTTCCCAGACAGTTCTACCAACTAACAGGGATATCTGGGGTATGACATGCTCTAGTGAGGTGACAGGAAAAGATGTTCAGCACGTGAGGGAAGCCCACAGTGTGGCCCCACTCCCAAGAGGTATGGGTTTGCTCAGGATTCACAAGCATGTGCTTTGTGTTTTAGTATTTTAACCACATCAGTATTGAGGATTCACGAGTCTACGAGCTGACCAGCAAGGCCGGGCTGTTGTCTCCGTATCAGATCCTCCATGAGTGCCTTAAAAGGTAGGGTAGGGAGCACCTTCCTCAAGAATCAGGTCATGGGAGCTCCTCTGGAGCATCTCAGAGTTTCACTTGGCTTTTGTCCCAAGGTAGAGTCATTATCTGTTTGCCTGGATATACAGGAGCCCCTTGGCTCTGGCTGATAGGCGAGCCCTGGGTAACTGAAATGTGTATAGAGTGTGTGGAGAATCTCCCTTAGTCAGCCGAACATCTAGGGAGGGGTTCGGGTTTTCTTCGGAAAGTTATAAATGGACTTTGTCATTTGGTACCCCTCCCCAGAAGTCACCATGTCCAAGCATCATCCACTGATACCTTCTTGTCATCTTTGTTTTCTCCTAAAAGAAACCATGGAATGGGTGACACATCCATCAAGTTTGAAGTGGTTCCTGGGAAAAACCAGAAGAGTGAATATGTCATGGCATGCGGCAAACACACAGTGCGCGGGTGGTGTAAGGACCTGTCTCCTCCCCTGCTTCCCTCATAGACTGGCATGTTTTCAGAGGACTGCTGGGGTATGGCCAGTAGTTTCTGACATGAGGGTGTGTGGCCTAGTCTACTACTGCTGTGACAGTCATCCAAAGCCCCAGCTTTGTGTGTGAGCCACCACCCTTTCATCTGAAGCTAGATTTGTGGTCATCCTGCCTGCATTCTTCCTCCTGTTCCACTGTTTCTTCTCTTACCTCTAACCATCCAGTCTGGTAGGATGAAGGGCTGGCTTCCCGAGGAGCAGGCTGAGGTGCCTCCTGATGGCTATCTGTCCATCTGCACACCTGTCTTCTGGTCTGTAGGCACCATCTCACTCTGCTTTTACATCTGACATAGCTGCTTAGGAAAAGCCAACAGAAAGCCCGCAGTTCCAGCTTCTTAGGAAGGAAACTGGGCAGGAGAATCAATCATGTGAAGTGTGAGTTCAGTACTAGCTTGAACGACATAGTGAGACCTTGTTCCTAAAAACAACAACAACAACAACAATAATAAAACCATAAATTTCATAAAGCAGTGGGTAACCACTGTAAGGAAAAATTAGTTTTATATATATTGGAGGATGATACATAGAGGACCCTGGGAAATTACAGACCCACACTTAGACGTGGATGGTCCAGTTACCTATGGCTGTTGCTGCACCCTACAAACTCCAGTCCCCATAGAGGTCGGCTGCTGAGAAGGCTGAACGAGTAAGCAGTCCACCGAACCTTCAGCCTGGAGAGCTCTCCTGGCTCAGTATCCTTCATATGGAGGCTCCACCCAGGCACCTGCCTACCCTCAGGAGCCACAGACTTTAGGAGGCCTTGCGTTTAGGAGGTCTGTGTGTTGCATGAAAGTGGGGTGGAGTGGGCTGGTGGAGAGAGGGAAGCTTCATTGTCTTGGCTGATAACTTTCCTACTTGTCCTCGCCTGGATCTCCTGAAAGCTGCTCGGCAGAGTGGTACCTGGGTCCAGGTCTCAGGACTGTGAGTCATAGTATCTAGCACAGTGGCAAAGCACTGTCTACCCTCCTGTGGAATTCCCTGCATGGCTCCCTAGGTGCCAGGGAAAGGTTCTCCTGTCTGGATATTTATGACTTCTCTCCACCTTTGTTTTTTCCTCTCACAGGTAAGAATAAACGAGTTGGGAAACAATTAGCCTCTCAGAAAATCCTTCAGCTGCTGCACCCACATGTCAAGAACTGGGGGTCCTTACTGCGCATGTATGGCCGTGAGAGCAGCAAAATGGTGAAGCAGGTAACCAGACTGTCAGGTGGTCCGGCAACTGCTCTGCTTCCTTTTTTCTTGCTTTGGAGATCCTGTCTAGGGTTTGCTGTCAAGGTCAAGCTTTTGATTAAGCCTGTCTCTTGTGTGTTGTGCCAATGATTGTGCAGACTGAGGGCGGGGACGCCCAAGCTACACCTTCTTGAATCTGCCAAGTATTTAAGTATGAACTATTAGGGGCACACCTAGAGCACCAGGCCTGCCATACACCAGACAGTAGGTGCAGGCAGTGAACACCACCTGGTGCTGAATTGTGTAAAGGCTTGGGGGCTGTCCTTTGGCAGTTCCCAAGACAGTGTGTCCTTGTTTAGTTGAAGCTCTCAGTGGCTTACAGAATATGAATACTGCCTGTTTTGTTTCTGTGGCTTTTACCCAGTTCTCAAAATTTAAATCAATCTCTAAACCTAATGAGTATGGGGGAGTACTGGGAAGTAATTGTTGGCTGTTTCTCTTTTGAAGTGCTAAGGATGGAACCCAGAGCCTTGTACATCTTGACAAATGCTCTACTACTGAGCTACATCACCAGTATTTTTACCCTTTCCCTTAATATATGTAGAAACTGCCTGGATCATTAGGATCCCATCATTTAGAGGAGTATAGGTGGTGACCCTGAAGATGGTGCTGTGAACCCTTGAGCCAATAAATAGTCTGGAGCAGTGTAGCACCCCTTTGGGTTTCATCAAACTGAGGCCTGGCACTGTCCTTGCTCTGGGCTGGCAAGGCAGGGGTCCAGGAGCCACACGGAGAATATACACAGCATAAGGCTCCTTCTTTTCCTGCTTCCTTTCCCTCCTTACTGCTGCAGATTGTATGTGGGGCTTTGTGCAAGCTCAGCAAAGGCTATACCACTGAGCTGTATCCCCAGCCTTAGAAGCATTTTCTATGAGTTGAAATGTAGGTGCAGTATTTGCTGTACATAGTCCTGGCCTGAGACAGAGGGAACATTTTTTTTTTTTTTTTTTTTTTTTTTTGGTTTTTCGAGACAGGGTTTCTCTGTGTAGCTTTGCGCCTTTCCTGGAACTCACTTGGTAGCCCAGGCTGGCCTCGAACTCAGAGATCCGCCTGGCTCTGCCTCCCGAGTGCTGGGATTAAAGGCGTGCGCCACCACCGCCCGGCCAGAGGGAACATTTTTGCAACCATAGGCAGAGGCTTCCTTTACCTGGAGGGTGAATGGCCCTTGAGCTCTGGCACGCCAGCGAGCATCCTTGCCTATGGCCTCCAAGGCAAGAAAGGACCAAAGAGAACGGCTGTTTGGCTGTTGTGTCTCAGTTGGCTTCAGCCATGCTCTTGCTACTGTCTTGGGGTCCTTAGCAGTGACTGCTTGACTGTCATATTCGGCCAGTAAACACAGAGGTATAATCATGGAGGAAGGGACAGAGTTTCTGGGAAAGGCCAGGGAGCCCAGGGCAGTTCTTATACCCTGTATCTGTCAGCAGCCAAGGCCTCATTACAGGTGGGCCACTGGTGTGCACTTCGTGCCCCACCAGGACCTTACGCTCCTGTTTTGGGTGGTCATGAGCATACTGCTGCTTGGCAGTTCTGAGAGCAGGCTTTGGGTCCCTAGGAGACCTCTGACAAGAGTGTGATAGAGCTACAGCAGTATGCCAAGAAGAACAGGCCCAACCTTCACATCCTGAGCAAGCTGCAAGAGGAGATGAAGAGGCTGGCTGCAGAGCGGGTGATTATCTCCCTTTCTCACCTCTCCCCCAGGCCACCTACCTCCCTACCCCCCCAAACTCACCATCTAATCCTGCAGTACCCTGTACTGCCCATACCACAATTACTAAGTCATCAGGATTGCTGGGTCAGCTTCTTTCTTGTAGCTCAATCTTAGGAGCCCATTTCTGATCCCTAACTCTGGAGATGCTTAATCTTCCTTCCAGATAAGGTTGGCCTTTAAGTTCTAGCATCTATGGCGCTTTCCTAAAACATCGAGTTAGAGAGCAGACAGGCCAGCCTTTTAGTGGCTAAAGGTTCTGATTTGGAGTCAGGTATTTCGAGGGCAAGGATTGTGCACTGGCCTTGTGCTTGATAACTCAAAGATCATAGAACAGTTAAGCCCGGGTAGAACTTGGTCTTGATGAAGCTTCCTAAAACTGCCATAGGTGCCTTATCCCAAGTGGGCTCTGTTACTGACAGTTTCCTGGTCTGAGGAAATATCTTATAGCCATTCACACCCCTAGACTTTCTGAGTTGGGAGCCATTCCAGCGCTGGTGACTTTGTCCCAGGTGTGAACACAAACTCTGAGGACCAAGTGTCTATTGCCATTTGCCTCAGGTGGGGGTGGGCCTTGTCTGCTGGAGTAAGCAGAACTTGCTAGCTTGACTCTTTGGGAGATTAGCTGTGGGGATTAAGGCAACAGGCTCAAGACACACAGTTCTATTTGTGGGGGAAATTCACTGGGCTGCCGGGCAAGCAAGGCTAGGATGACACTCACCCTGGAGGGGTGGATCCCAGCTTGTTGCAAATTCTTCCATTCTGGGTGTCTCTAGATTGCTAGGGAAGCTGCAGCACATGGGAGTCTACCCTGGCATTCTGAGGAGACCCTTCTGGCTTGGCCCAACCCAGCCCGCTCCCTGTACCTTCCCTCCTAGCCAGGTATCACAAGGCTTCCACCCTTTCACCCTTGTGAATCTCATTGCTGGGCCCACCTCTAGCATCATTGACCTCTGTTCTTCCAGGAGGAAACGCGGAAGAAGCCCAAGATGTCAATTGTTGCATCTGCCCAGCCTGGCGGTGAGCCCTTGTGCACAGTGGATGTATGAGGTAGGCGGCATGGGCCAACAGTGCTACCCAGGAGACCATCAGCCACACATCATCACTGCAGCACCAGGCCTCCAACCTAAGTTCCTTTCCTGTGGCAGTGTCGGCTCTACTCTGGCACACGGGGACAGCTGTGACAATACAGCACACATGCAAAGAAGCAGTTCTTCTGGAAGCTGCTCTGTGTGACTTGATATATTAAGGATCAGCTATAAGTAACTACACAAGTGGAAGCTGATAGACAGCTGTAGATCCTGCTTGTACGTATCTGCTGCGGACTGTTTTTATGAAGGTTTTCATGAATTTTAGTACACTATATGCACTGACAAGAAGTGATGCTTGGTTGATAGATGAGATGACCAGGATTTATAGCTTTGGCTGGCCTATGATGCCTTTGCTCATAGTTCCTTCTTGTGGAGCCACTGAGACCTGGTCAGAAGGTGCAGGTATCCTGTCCTGTAGTATTACCTGCTTTGTGTGTTTCCCATTTTCCTCTGAAAAAGTTATAATAGAAAGGATTATTTCAGGCTATTTTGGCTTAAAATAAAACAAAATTTTAGCAACAGAGCTACTTTTCAGAGATTGCATAGTGAAGATACTGAACTGTCAAGATACTGAGTGTTAATCTGGTTGCAGTCTACTTCTTTTGATGATGTCTTAATGCCCTAATAGCTGTCTTCTGGATACCCAAGCTCCCACCTTCAATAAACTTTAGCAACACTTTTCTACAAAGATTTTTGCACAATCAAGTCCATCTGTTGATCGGTTTTTAAAGCTTTTATGATGTTTTAGAATTTGGAAAGAAACTTTTACAGTGAGAGTGGAAGACAGATTTAGTCTTGCATTTCAACAGATGGACTTGTGTAAATAGGAAACAGGGCCTTCAGTGTAGCCCATCACTGACCAAGAGCTGGCACTGCACATGACAAGTAGTTATGGCTTTTCTGGATCTCAAGGGTGGCTGCTGTCTACATACACCAAGCCTGGTGTCAGGTTTAGTCTTTGCCCATCCATGCTTACAGGATAGCCATGGAGAAGGGTATTGAGTAGAGGTATATTGAGAACACAAGTCATGGTCAAGAGTTAGCCTACCCCAATACCTGTTCAGAGGGGCTGCAGTCTTATATGTTCTCAGTGTGTCTTTCATCTGTACCTGAATTTACATGGATGGCATGTGTTGTCAGAAAGACAAAATGGCAGCTATGGGCATCCCAACACTATATTCCTCCCCCCTGATCACCTGTGTGATAGCAGTTAACTTCTGTGTTAATCTTGGCAAGAACAACTCTCCAAATCAAGTTGCTAGAATTGGAGACTTGATTCCTTCTTCCTTGCCTCCCATTCACAGTTGTGATCAGCCTTTTGACTGACCCCAGATTTGCCATTGGGAAAGCCTTAAGCACATGGTAATGTGATCTCTCTATAGCTGTACTGGCCCAGGCAATGTCAACAACAGGTGCTGCCACACACAGGTGGGTGAGTTTTAAATGCACAGCCATGTTATAATGCTGCAAGCCTGTGTAGATGCTGGCCATGGTTGTAGGGTGCACCCTGATGGTCTGAACACATAAAATTGTCCAAAAGGGAACGGCTGGTTTCTTTCTTCTGATTAGAATGCTGGATGTTTGTGGATCTTCAACTGGCCAGGACAGTCCTGGTGTCAGTTGTGTTTTTAAGTGCCATGGTGCACAGTTAACCCCATGTGAACTCAGCATAGATGGTGTGTTCAGTAGTTGCTACCTGCAGGGGCCATCCTCAGTGCTCACTCCTTTGGAATATATGATTGATGTTTGGTCCTAAAACCCACATTCCATTAAGCACAGTGAAGCTGTGCACAGTGGCAGACATCTTTAATCCTAGCACTCGGAGTCATAGGCCAGCCTGGTCTACATAGAGATGCTGTCTTAAACATGGAAGCACAGGGTGCTGGCACCACAGGCCTTCGACACCGGGGAAGTTGAATATGAAAGATCTTGAGTTCAAGAAGGTCAGCTGAAGACTGAGTCTCTAGTCCTTCCTGCCTCTTTCTGAAAGGATTTCCCAGGTCTCGGCCTGAGGACTTGACAGACTGAGGTACTCTGCTACCCTACTCTTCTGTACTTTAGTGGGTGGCAAGTAGGAATGACTCAAAGCTCTGGCTGTCACCACAAAAGCATCAGCAAATCAGCAATCGTTTATTCTGGAGTCTGGCTGTCCCATTACAGGACACAGGTGTTCATAGTACCAGCTAGGCCAGTCTCATGCCCACCACTGTTTGCCTGCCACCCTCTGCTTAGTAGGGAGCTGTAAGGAGCTTTCAGCTTTTGTTCTGTACTTCTGCAGTTCCCAAGACCTAGGATGAGAGGGAAGTGTCTGTTTCCTTTGGGGTGGCATCAGGAGGATTTCTTGGGGTTTGAGAGTCTTGATGCCCCAGGGCTTCTATGCCGTTAGGGTGTTGTTCCATCCTCTCAAACAGGATGAGCATCTCACAGTGTGGAGTCTGTGGGAATAGGTCCACGGCCACAGCCTTGACTGGACGGAATGGGATGCCTTTTACTCTGTTAGATGGGGCCCTGCAGAGGCTGTGGTGGGAAGGAGGTACCAATATTAGCACCAGAGGTTCTTATAGGTGGCAGATAGGTGTGTCATCATCTCCCCATCCCCCCAAAAAACCCCACTTACTCCACAAAGTTGCCCATGGCTGCCCGGGGATTGCAGGAAACATACAGGAGTCGCTTGATGTTCTCAGCTCTACGAATGGCCAGAATCACCTTGGAATCTGACAAAGGCACAGAGGGGCTAGTCTCTCCTAGTGGTGGACTACCCAATATAGCTTTTTTTCTTCTGGTGCTACCTCCCCAAATGGAAGCCACTCACGTAGGCCAGCCCGTGGTGGGTCTAGGACAGCTACAAGTTGCTGGGAGGACAGTCTGCTCACCAAGCCTGGCACAAGATCCTCAGCCCTGCCGCAGTGGAATTCAATGTTGCTCAACTCTAGAGATAGTGTCATAATTGTCACTGGACTCTGGGCCAGGCACTGGGAGGGCCTAACAGGCTTAGAGAGTACACAGCACCCCTCCCAAAGCCTTTCTGTTTCCAGCCAGAAGCCTCAGTGCCCCCACTCCCCAGAAGGCCCCCAAAACCTCAATACAGGTTATAGATACAGTAACTGAAGTACATGGCAGAAGTCCTGCTGTGGCAGATCACCTGCTTGCTGTGTGGTGTAAAGGTTCTCACCATTGGTAAGGGCGTTCACACGGGCATCCTCCACGGCCTCCTGGCACAGCTCAATCCCGACTACTCTTTTCACCTTCTGAAATAGATAAGCCCCACTGCCCTGGCTGCTCAGGAAAGAGAGACAGCACCACCGGGTTTTATCTGGGATTCACACTCATGATCATCAGTCAGTAGGGAGATGTCCTCCTTACCCGGGCCAGGGCCAGGCCTATGGTGCCAGTGCCACAGCATACATCCAGCACGGTACTGCCCCCATCCAGCTGAGCCCATTCCTGGATGACTGTGTAGAGCACTTCAGCTGCAGGTGTGTTTACCTGGAGGTTAGTTAGCCATAGTGTACTCCAGTGTAGGCTAGCACCCCACACTGCCTGGATCCCCATCTACATCAGTGACCTCATCCAACTTCCTGACTTTTAAAAACTAAATCCTTACAACAGATACCCTCATGAATGGGGAGCTTTTTTCCCTGACTTCACAACTCCCTCCCCAGGCCAGCTGAGAGTGACTGTGTACCTTAAACTACTAAAACCTTAGGATCTTCCCCCTCCATCTCCACAGTAGGGTTTTGTACATCAGGGAGAGAGGCTCAAGGGCTAAGAGACTGCTACCATAGTGTCCTGTTCTCGGTTGGGCAGGAGGCAATAAGGCAACATGTATCATTGGGTTAACCACAAATCAGTCAAATCAGTGGCAAATTATCCCTTTCTTAGCCTAGGGCCCCCACTATCTGGATGTTCTCTATAATCTCTTCAAGCTTAGTTACTATTCTCCCTTTCCACCACATCTGCCATCACACTCAGCTTCCCTGTCTCTGTGTTCATAAGGGGCACACTACCTGGAAGAATGCGTGAGGGGAGATACGGAAGGTCAGCCCCAGCAGGTCCTCCTGGATGCACTGGTCACCAGCCATATGCTCCAGGGGCAGGCCTTCCTGGCTGGGAGTCTTCCTACATGAGAAGCAGATGATCAGTGTCACTGGCCTATTTGGAGACCCTGTCCCCACCTGGGCTCCTTACCTCTGTCCCTCTTCCACAAAGTAGAGGCAGGTCACTCCACTGGCCTTGCCTGGCCCTTCCATGAAGTGGTACACCAGGGAGGCCTTCAGCCCTGCCAAGTCCTCCGAGCTCAGTTTCTGCAGTAGAGGATGCAAAAAGCCCATCAGGCTAAGCAAAAACCAGTAAGACCTCCCCCAACAAGACCACTGCCTGAGACCTGGGGGTGGAAGTAGGCAATGGCCATGGCCTGGCCTCTGCGGCTGGTACGAACAGTCAGCTGCTTCCAGTGGCCTGTATATGTCTCAGGGTCATATGCCGAGTATGGGGTGGACCTGAGGAAGCCACAAATGTCTCTGAGTACCTAGTGTGTGCCCCTGTCTGTCCCAGCACCCCGCCCCTCCCCCCACTGCCAGGGCAAGGACCACAGCCCCAGGACGGGTCCCCACCGAATGAATTCCTGGAAGGCCTTCACCACCTGCTTCGTGGCCTCTGGAATGTGCACAGTGTCAAAGGGGGCTGCCACAGCACAGGTGCCACCCTTGTACTTGCCGAGCCTGCAGCCAACAGTGTTGTCTTCTCCATCCACCCCAGCTCCGACCAGAAACTCGCACTTATTGCGGTATTCAGTCTGCAGGAGAGGAGGTGGCAAAGAGGCAGCCAGGTCTCAACCTTGATTGCCAGCACCAGAAGAAGCCGACAGGAGTGGCAGGCAAAGCAAGGTTTCACTGCTGGCTTATCAGACCCCAGGAAAAAGTGAAAGGCAAGAAATGGCAAGGAGGATAAGGAAAGACCAGAGAGAGCAGGATGATGGGCTGGCCCAGCGTTAAAGTAGATGCCCAGTGTGTGAGGCCAACCTCCCGCTTCCCACACATAGAATGGGATTTCGTAGTCAGCCTGACCTGCTGGGGTGATGGCCTGACCCCCTCCAGTGGGCAACAAGCCTTATTATGCTGTTGTCTCTGTGTGAGCAGCCAGGGTAGCAGGGCGCGGTTGGTGCTCCCAATTTCCCTGTAGGATGAAGCACATCATGGCTGGACTGACACTGTTCCCCATCCACACTGGGCAGCTCCCTTGAGACCTCACTATCACACTGGTATCATAGGGGCATTACTAACCAGCTCCCTGACCACTTAGACCAGTGGTTCTCAACCTTCCTAATGCTGTGACCCTTTAATACAGCTCCTCATGTTTGCGCTGACCCCTAACCATAAAATTACTTTGGTGTTACTTCATAACTAATTTTGCTACTGTTACGAATTGTAAATATGTTTTCCAGTGGCTTTAGGTGATCTCTTAAAAGGGTTGTTTGTCAGCCCCCCTCCCCCCCAAGAGGTTAAGAACACTTAGACCCTGTGTGTGTCCTAATAGAGTACAGGGCTGGTGGAGCAGGCCAAGTTTGCAAAACCCAGCTTCTATGGTAGGGATGTCAGTGCCACACTCACTTGGCCAGTTTTTGCAGCACCCGTTCACATTCCAGCCGTTTCTGCTCCAGCTGCTCAGAGTAGGGTACTGTCCAAAGAGGGGTCACCACGTCGGCAATCTGCGTAGCTGTTGGCTCACTACCACCTTCCTGCCGCCTCTTTCTAGCCATGGGGTCAGCCTTGGGTCGGGCCAGGCGCACGCTGAGTGGGCGGCCTTTCCAGAGAGCACCGTGCAGCACTCGCAAGGCCTTGTCTCGTTCAGCAGCGCTGCGAAATGTTACAAAGGCACACGGTGGTTGTCCAAAGAGTTTGATTTTGTGGGATTGTAGGCCAAAACGGCCCAAAAAGCGCCGGACGTCACTGAAACTGGCATGGCGAGGCACATTTTGCAGCTCCAGTTTAAAGATCTCTGAGGTGAACAGGTCATCCCTTATGTAGCTGTAGAGCCCAGGCTGAGTTCCAGGCCCGGCAGCTGGTCCAGGCCCCCCTTCTTGACATTCTGGGGCTGCGGGGCTGTATACTGCACTGGCATCCGGGCCGCAGTCCTCCATGTGCTCCCCAACCTGTGTGGGGATAGGCAGGGGCCAGGCTGAAGGCTGTACCTGGGATGACGACCGCCTCGGGCTTGCTCCCTAAACCACTGCCAGACCCCCGTTGGCGCACACTCCACCCAGCCCTGCCCAAGCCCGCTCCTCAACCCCACCCCATCCACAGCTGCTGCATGTCTCTCCCTTTGCTTTACTTCCGTGTCCAGCTTCTCACTCATCGCCTGGCTCGTCCGTCGCCCGGCCAGGGTGCTCACGAGGCCACCACTTAGGTCTCTCTCACATACGAAGTGCTCCGAGATAGAGGTGCGACGCCTCTTCGCCTTACGCGGGAGAGGTACTCAAAACTCGGTGCTCAGAGCCGGCACTGGAGATTGGGAATGCACCACTCGCTCCCCAGGAGCCAGCGAGGGCAGCACGTCTCAGGCCTGACTCCAGCGGCCAGTGCACACTCGCCGAGCCTGGTTTCTCGCAGGGCTTGGCTTCCGGTGACGTCACCGCCACGCGCCGAGTCCTGACTGAGCCTTGCACCAGCCGCTGACACTGACGTCAGAGGCACTCAGGGCTTGCAGACGGAAGTGCGCGCGTGGGTCGCCGGGAGAGCGCGCTCCCCAGGCTGAGGCGCGGCCGGGCATGCGCCGCGGGCGTTTTGGCGGGAAGCGCGGGGCGGGCCGGACAATGAATGTCCGCCGTCAGAGCCAATAAAGCTGCAGTGGTTTTGAATCACGGTGCGTTTCCCGCCGCTGGGGTCAGGGGTCAGGGTTCGGGTCGGGGGGCGGAGGGAAGAGCGGACGGGCGGGAGACGCCGGCGCCAGACGCGAAGGAAAAGGAGCTGCGACCAGTCGCCCAGAGGCCGCCGAGCCAGCGACGCCTGAGCCAGTCGAGCCGCCGTCGCCGCGCCCCCATGGCGGCCGCCAAGGTACGGCGAGGCCCGGGTGGGGCCGGGCAGGCCGGGAGGCAAGGGCCGCTATGGGCGGCCACGTGGGCGGCCCGCGCCTCGGCCGCCAACCCTCGCTGGCCTGCGGGTTCGGGGCCTGTCGAGGCGCCCGGGCCTGGGGGGCTCGAGGCCTCGGGGTTCCGAGAGTGGGAGCTGCTGGCCGAGACTCGGGTCTCGGGGGCGGCGGGGCGGCGCGTGACCTTGTGGCGTGCAGAAGAGCAGCCATCTCCACCCCGGGCTCCCGGCTTTACTTGGGGATCTGGCCGTGGCCGGTTCCCTTCGTCGTGGCCCCCTGTGATGTTCCCACTAGCATCGGGAAACCCTTCTTGAGTTCCCCGCAGAGCCCTTCATTCATTTGGTCTTTACGTCGGGACCCGCCACCGCCATCGGTGGCGGAAGCTCGCTCTTCAGCGCGGGGAATAGATAGTAGACGCGGGGCTCAGGGCGGGGGCGGCTTTGTTGGTGGCTGGCGTGTCGGCCGCAGCGGAGCCGCAGTGCTGTGAAACCGAAGGGCTTCTGTTTCTTTATCCTGTGGAGTTTGGTAGTGTGAGTCTGGGTTTTTTCTCTGTATTATCAGAGCACGTGATCTTGTCAGATTTTAAACCTGCATGCCCTTGTAATCCTTCAAGTTGGGTCAGAATCTTAGGGCTTATTTGTCAGACTTTCCTTAGCTTCTTTCAGCTTAGATTTCCAAGCTTGTGTAAAATTTCTGGAGGAATTGTAAATTCGTGTAAATGCTAATTTTCCTAGTTTACAAGTGTTTGGAGAATCGTCAGTACAAATATTAAGGTTGCTCTTTTGAGTTCATCACGTTCTTTACATGTCGGGTATAATTTTCATTTTATAGAGGAGGAAAGGAGTTTCTCAAGCTGCTTTGCCAAGGACTCTGGTGTGTGTATGGAACTGATTGATGTTTGAATGTGCAGGGAGGGGCATGTTAAAATCCATTGTCTGGTTGCGGGCTATCTTCTGATTTTTGTGATGCTGGTTGTAGCACACTGGTGATGTGAAAGACTGGAGACTTAATTTCCAATTTAGGGGAGGCCTGTCTTCCTTTTCCAGGCGCCATTTGTGATTAGTGATGCCCGCTGTGGGCCAGGCTCACCAGCCAGCGGCATCACTTCTCCCCTCTCTGCACAGGACAGTCATGAGGACCATGATACCTCCACAGAGAATGCAGACGAATCCAACCATGACCCCCAGTTCGAGCCGATAGTTTCTCTTCCTGAGCAAGAAATTAAAACACTGGAGGAAGATGAAGAGGAACTTTTTAAGATGTAAGTCCGCTGAGGTGTCCCTGGAAGTATCTTTAGATGGGCTGACCGAGACAGAAAGAGAAATGGCCTGATAATATAAACAAGTCTCTGCAGGGCATTTCTTTTAAAACTTGCAAAACCCAACAACCACAGTGGGACCATGGTCTCGGCTTTCTGGAAGAGCCAGCCAAGCTAGGAACTCTGTGTTGGGTGTTTTTACTCTTGTGCTGGGGTATAAGCCCTAGTGATACTTTATGACATTAGCCTCTTTGTGATTTCTACCTGGAACTTTGCAGAAGAGTCCTAGGTTGGCTGGGCACATTATCATACCTGTGAATGTCATGACTTGGCCCCCATTTGATAAAGGCTGTTTGAAGAAAGGACCTGGAGTTGTATGGTGACTAGCCTTACATTGAAAATTCAACCATTCATCTGCCAAACCTTTTCCTGCTGCCCTTGCTTCCTTGTGGCCAGTCATTTAAAGGGTGTCCCCATCATTAGTCTGTCACCTGGGGGTCCCCCAGCTGATCTTGCACCTTGCCTCCACGAATCAGCAGTTCCAGTAGGCTGTGGTGGCGCACACTTTTAATCCCAGCACTTGGGAGGCGGAGGCAGATAGATTTCTGTGAGTTTTAGGCCAGCCTGGTCTACAGAGCAAGTTCCAGGACAGCCAGGGCTACATAGTGAGACCTTTTCTTGGGGGTGGTGGCTTCTTCCTTTGTTGAGCAGGGAATCTTAACTTCTTTCTTCCCTTTTCTTCCTTTCTGCTTTGTTTTGTTGCCTTAGCTGGGTATCCTTAAAGAACGGGTTTGTTTAGATATTTGTGTGTTTTTTTTTTTGTTTTTTGTTTTTTGTTTTTTTAATTTTTATATGTGTATGGGTGTTTTGCCTACATGGATGTCTCTACACAATGTGCAGCCTGGTGCCCAAGGAGGCCAGAAGAAAGCAGCGGATCCCTGGGGACTAGAGTTACAGACAGTTTTGAGTTGCCATGTGGTCCTCTGGAAGAACAGCCAGTGCTCTTAACTGCTGAGCCATCTCTCCAGCCTCCAGCTCATGGTTTTGCAGGTTAGGAAGTCTGAGATCTGAGAGCATAGTGCTAGCACTTGGTATGGGCCTCAGTTACATCTTAATGTAGCAGTGTATCATGTAGTAAAATCAAGGAACTTGCTAACTTCAGTCTTTCTCTTACATATTCACTAGTGCCATTGTTCAGTCCCGTCCTCGGTCCTCATGAGTCCATCTAACCCTCTTTACCTTCTAAAGGACACTTCTAAATACTATTAATGTGAATTTGGAAATTGAGTTAATGCCTAAACTATAAGGACACATTCAAACCATAGTAGACAAATTCAGCTATGTACAGCCTATGTATTCCTGGTTCTGTGTCTTCCACAAAATGCCAGTGGAAGTGGCTTAGTTATCAAAATTGCTTTTTAAAAATTACTGTGAATTTGCCACTTGGAACCTTCAATGAGGAACTGTAGCAGTACTTGAGTAACTTTGGTTTTGCTGTTGTCTTGTTTTGCTGGCCTGGTGGTTGAACACATGCCAGGCATGTACTATCTCCAGCCAGTCCCCCCCTCCCCCCTCCAAGTTATACACACTTGGTCTTGAACTTGCCATTCACCTGCTTTAGCTTCCTTAGTATCTGGGATTACAGGCCTGTTCCATCAGGCCAAGATGGCTGAGCACAAGCTATCTTGTATCTGGCTTCACATCACTGCAGAGACTGGCTTGTTGTTGCCTGTGCTCAGCATTGCTGGACACTGGATTCGGGTGCATCCTAGCAAAGGTGTTGCTGTACCTTTCAGGTGTGCCTAAGATGTGGGGGAGGGAGGCCTGCTCAAGGAAAGCCATAAGCACACCTTTGTACCCAGAAGGTGGTGGGCTAGAGCTCTGTCCCGCAGCCCTGGGCAAGGGTGGCATCCTCTTAAGTTATGTGGTATTTGGTTTTGTCCATGCAATGCTGAAAGGACTCCTGATTTCCTGTGCAGGGTCCTTGGTATAGTCCTGGAGACCAACATCTTGTGCCTTACATCAGGGCCTCTGGGCTCTCTCTTAAGGAATTGGGTGACGATGTGTTGCTTGGCAGGGTTTGGAGGAGAACAGAGGCTTTGGCAGAGAAGGCGAGCAGATGAGGGCTGCAAATGAAGGGTGTTGGCCCAGCTTCAGGGACAAGAGCACTGGACTCATGGCTGGTGCTAGGTGCTTGAACCCTGGTGACTGTGAAAGGCTCCTCCTGACAGGAAGCTAGTGCTGGGCCTGTGGAGTAGGATATCCCTAAGACTTTGTGTAGTTAAAGAGCACTCATGTGTTGTGACTGGGTCACCCAGCTCACTGGAGCTTCTTTACCCACTCTGGGCCATGTGTATCCTTAGACGCCTCTCCGGGGAAAATGCTTCTGCTATGAACATCTTTCTGGTTGTGAAGTAAAAGCAGCATGGGATTTGTCAGGCTCCCCTGGGTGGTATTTTGACTAGTAATTCTTGGCGCCCAAAGGCCTTAGAAAAAGATATTTGAGCCGGGTGGTGGTGGCCCACACCTTTAATCCCAGCACTCGGGAGGCAGAGGCAGGCAGATCTTTGTGAGTTCGAGGCCAGCCTGGGCTACAGAGTGGGTTCCAGGAAAGGCACAAAGCTACACAGAGAAAAAAACCCTGTCTCGGAAGAAAAAGGAAAGAAAGGAAAAGGTATTTGGTGAGGGCCCAGTGTCCAACAGTACCCCATGTTCAGTGCCCAGATAACACACATTCTTTGGGGACAGTTGGTCCAGGTGTGAATTCCCTCTCTGTCTGACTGTTTCATTACTGGCTTTTCTTACAGGCGAGCAAAGCTATTCCGGTTTGCTTCAGAGAATGACCTCCCAGAATGGAAGGAGCGAGGCACTGGTGACGTCAAGCTCCTGAAGCATAAGGAAAAAGGGACCATCCGCCTTCTCATGAGGAGGGACAAGACTCTGAAAATATGCGCCAACCACTATAGTAGGTGGTCTTTCAGGGCTATACACCCTGGAACTCCTAGGAGCTGGTTATCAGGGGAGAGAGGGATATATTTGTCATGCTTATTGAGTTTAAAATAAGTTTCTTTTGAACAAGCCTCTGAACTATGACAGTGAAGCTTACAGAACGCTGCAGGCTGTGGGCAAGCTAGGTCTAGGTTGGATGTAGAGCTCCAGGATGGACTCTGTCGGATGGTGATGCAGTGGGTGCACGTTTGTATGTTATCTGGGCAAGTTGCCAGGGTCTGGTGCCAATGCTGTGTTTTCACTGATACGCTGGACCCTCAGTTGTTGCCTGGGATGATAGAGGAAGGGAAGGAGGCTGGGAAGAAAGGGAATGAGGAGGGCTCTTGGCCAGGTCTCAGCAAGCTATCCCTCCCTGGTTTGTCTCTGAGGCTATTAGGATCCATCTGGGGATGCTCTTGATCCTGGTAGATCTAGTGCAAAAATTCCTATTTTCTAAACTTAAACGTATTGTCCTCACATGAGTCCGCATGCAGAGGACAAAGAACAGCGTTGTGGGATCTGTTCTTCCTTAACACCTTCTCATGGGTTCCGAGTCGGTCTCTGGGCTTGTGCTTTACCTCCCTTCATTGGTGTTGCCCGTGTGCCGTGACTGTAGCAGTTGAGGGATGACTTGTAGGAACTGGTTCTCTCCTTACACCCTGTGGGATCTGGGGATGAAACTTGTCAGGCTGTGGGCAAGTGCCTTTACTGAGACAGCTCACAGACCCTGAGCCTGCATTTTCTAGCCGCTTAGGATCTTTTGTCCTTTGTCCATAGGCCGACTATAGGTAAGAGCAGGGGAGGGGAGGGGTGTGTGTAGGGCTTGACAGGTGGTTTTGCTGAGGAAGGAACATGAGAAAGACTTGGCTCTCCCTGCCTCACAGTTGCCTCAGTCTCCTCTCAATCCCAGTTTGGAGCATTCCCTTGGGGGTCTCAAGCTGCTCCAAAAGCCTGGCTAGGTTCCTGACTGACTGGTCTCTACAAGTGGTTGGAGCTCTTTGTCTCATGCACCTCACAGGCTCTTGGTGGTTATGAGTCAAGGTTGGGCATTGTCTTAGTTATAACTGTTCTATTGCTGTGAAGGGACGCTGTGACCAAGGCAACTCTAAAGAAGACATTTAATTGGGGCTTGCTTGCATTTTCAGAGAGTTAGTCCATTATCGTGGCAGGAAGCAGACAGGCATGTCACTGGAGCAGTAGCTGAAAGCTTTATATCCTGATCTGCAGGCAGAGAGAGAGAAAGAGGGAGGGAGGGAGGGAGGGAGACACTGGGCTTGGTATCAGTTTCTGAAACCTCAGGGCCCACCCCCAGTGACACCTTCCTCCAACAAGGCTACACCTCCTAATCCTTCCAAACAGTTCAGCTGTGGACCAAGCATTCAAATCTATGAGCCTGTGAGCCATTCTCATTCAGACCACCGCAGGCATCAAGTGAGGTGTAGGGAAGTGAGGGTGTGGGTGGTGTGCAGAGTTCCTGGGGCCACCATGGGCTGCTGTGGCTCAGATCCCTGAACTCCAGCTTTGCTGTCATGTGGGAGTGCTCAGATTGTTTCGAGGACCTCCCTAGAATCCTGGAGATGCTGACAGGGCTACAGGGACCAATGGCTGGGTATAGACCCAGTGAGGAATATTCCAGATGAGCAGGCTTTCAGTGGGGGACAGCTATCTGTCAGTGCTGTCATCTTTTCCCTCAGCTCCCCTGGGCTGTGGGACCTGAGGAATTCAGAATAAACATGCTTGTTAGGAGCCATGGCTTGTCTTCCATGACATACTACCTGTCATGGGATTCCATTGTTCACTACTTGTATCTTACCCCTCAGATAGAACTTCCTGGACTATAGAGGGCTGAGTAGTTGCACTGTGTGATAACCCTGCTTTCAGGCTCCTTCACCTCTGTGTTCCCACCTTTCAGTCATCCAGGTTCATGCTGGTGTGGGCATGTGATTGAAGCCTTATGTTGGACGCCCTTAGGAAAGTTTGAGCCTGAGTGGCTACCCTTAAAACAGCAGGAGGCAGAGCCTGTGCTTCAGACTCCTGAGCTTGTTCCCACATAAGGATTATCCTGAGTTTAAGCAGATGTGGTTTGCATTAGTGCGTAGAGTTGTGTAGGCCCGTGTTAAAATTCCTTCCCAGGGCAGACATAAGCAATGTCTGCACTTCTCCCAAGGACCCAATGACAGATCAAGGTGTGATGCCGCCAAAGTTTACTCTGGGGAACCAATGAATTTATTGGGCTTTCTTAAAGGTCAAAGGTGAGGTGTTATTTACAGGGTTGTGGGTGCTCCTCACCCCATCAGGCTGTACCTGAAAAGCCTTGACCTAGCAAGGATGATGGCTTCTGCATAGGTGGGGCCCCTCCTGGAGGAGGGCACGTGCAGTTAGGACAGAGCTGAACACAACTAGTGGTAGGAGTAGCTGGTTACTGGGGTGAGGGTCTCTGACCCTTTCCACCCTTGAGGGGATATAAACATCAAGCCCAGCTGGGATCATCTGCAAGCGGGCACAGTTGAACTCCCCAATATGGTGGTTGCTTGGCTCAGAGGGTAATCAGGTACAGTAGCTTGGATCTCAGATTCCATGTTGGCTAAAGTGGGTCCCTCACTTAGTGAGTAGGTTACTCTGGGTGAGGGCTGGGTGGTTTGTCCGAGAGTCCCGCTGTCCTCACAGGTTTTTCTTCTCTAGTCACACCAATGATGGAGCTGAAGCCGAATGCTGGCAGTGACCGCGCCTGGGTCTGGAATACCCATGCCGACTTTGCTGATGAGTGCCCCAAGCCTGAGCTGCTCGCCATCCGCTTCCTAAATGCTGAAAGTAAGCAGAACTTGCCCAACTGTGTGGGTCAGCTGCTTTTTTGGGGAAATTGACATTGACCCAAAGCATGCAGAGCCTGCTGTGTGAAATTCTAGGGATCTATATAAACAGTTGTTGCATCCAGTTGACTCCTGTCAGGTGTGTGGAACAGACACACCCTGGAGTTTGCTCCTGCTGCTGCTTCTGCTTAGTTTCTGGTTCCTCAAGACTGGGGCACTGGTGTCCCTTACTGATACTTAGGCACCTGTTCCAGCAAAGACTGCAAAAATCTGCAAGCCCTGGCTGATCTCTCTTCCATGGGGGAGTCTTTCTAGTGTGAATTGCCACAAAGTTGTGCCCTGAGGATCTTGGAGAGTCAGCAGGTACCATGACCAATGCCCTAGTGGCTGGTGCTCCTGTGAAAGTGAGCTTGCCCTTGGTCTGGAGTATAATGTATATCTGGTATCCCTTCCAACAGGAGTGGAGCTGTAGCAAGAAGGCCCTTGGCGCTTGGTTGTCTGAATTGTTGATAGATAGCCTAGCACTAGTCCCTCAGGAGGGACTCAGTAACCAGTCAGTGTAGGTGTTAGTTGGTCAGAAGCTGCCATTAGGGCCGGGCATGGTGTGCACACCTTTGATCCCAGCACCTGGGAGGCAGAGGCAGGCGGAGCTCTTGAGTTCCGGGACGGACAGCCCGGGCTACGTAGGGAGAGCCTGTATAAAAAAAGAAAGAACAATTGCACTGGGGACCACGAGTTGGCTCTTCAGAACTTCAGGATGTAGCCACTCTGCTCCTGAGTTCTTGAAGGAACTCAGTCCCTTCTCTTTCTACAGATGCACAGAAGTTCAAAACAAAGTTTGAAGAATGCAGGAAAGAGATCGAAGAGAAAGAGAAGAAAGGTGACATGGTGCCCTGGGGTGGCGGGGGGTGGGGGGACTTCCTTGCAGATCCACTCTGCACCTGGCTGCAGCTCCAGTCTGGTGCTTTTTCTGTCTGCCAAAGAAACATTCCAGGGTGCTGTGGCTGCCTCTGCCTACCGGAGGTCATGCAGCTGCCTGGGGACACTGATTCCTTGGAGGCTTTGACCTCATGTTGGCCTCATAGCGTTTGTGCTCAGTTTCAGGTACAGAGCTGAGTTAGAGCTCTCTGGAACCCACCTGGGGTGAAAGGGCTTTTAAGATATTTCTCACTTTCTCTCAAAGAATTCTGGGTCCTGTTCCTCTGGGGCAGGTGAGGCCTGTGTAGTAAGTGGCCATGCATCACTGAGCAGCTCGGCGGGTACCACCAACAGCAGCTTGTTGGGACCTTTTGAGCCCATCTGGGAAGAGTGCTGGGTGATGCTTAAGGAGCAGGTGGAGCCTGCACTGGGTGAGTGCTGAGAGCAGCCCAGTCTCACAGCCAGGTCCCCCTGTTGTCTTACTGCCTTTGCCTGTTTTTGCAGGACCAGGCAAAAATGAAAATGCTGAAAAGGTGGCCGAGAAGCTGGAAGCCCTTTCTGTGAAGGAGGCCAGAGATGAGGCTGAAGACAAATCTGAGGAGAAGCAATGAGTCACTCTCTGTCCTTGTCCTTTCTTTTTCTTTTTAAAAAATTTCCCTGCCCTTTAAGGTTTGTTTTTATTCTGTTTTGTTTTTACAAGGGACTTTATAAAGAACTGAATTCCAACCTTCAGGTTTTTTTTTTTTTAATTTTTTTTTAAATTTTTTTTCTCAAGTTTTGACACCATGAACATGACTTCAGAAATCCATTCCCCAGTCATGAAAATGTACTGTGCTAACTTTCTTTTCCATAGTGGAAACACTTATTTATAGTCATCAAAAATAGTGAATAAAAAATGCCTTTGAAAACCTGGACCAGCTGGCAAGGCTGTGTGGGGGTTGGGGGCTGTGCCTGGAAATCTCCTTGGCCACCCATGTACCTGAGTGCATTGCAGGTCTGTGCAGCCTGGTTTCTTAGAGAATCGAGTGGTGTGTGCTGCTGTGGCGCTTAGGGAACAGTGGATACTACAGCATGGTTTGTCCAAGCTGGTCCTAGAAGCCCCTAGGTGTGTAGGATGGCAGCCGAAAGGCCCAGTGGGGCTGAGGCTGGCATTCAGAGCCAAGGTATGCTGTTCCCTTGCAGCTGGAACTATTACTTTGTGCCCTTATGTAGGTTGGATGTGTGTGTGTGTGTGTGTGTGTGTGTGTGTGTGTGTGTGTGTGTGTGTGTTTGAGGGACATGAAGGAAGACCACTAGAGTACTTTGACCTAGGTGAAGGGAGGTAGTAGGTAGCCAAACAGATCTGGCTATTAAGAAAAACTGCTTTTGCTTGGCTGTGGTTAATAAGGCAGCCCTTCTCTCGGTGGAAGGAAAGGCCACCTTGGAGGTGCATATTCACTCTAGTGCTATGTCACGGTATAGCTGTGACTATAGCCCCTCAACCCTCCCGTTGGAAACCATTAGATGCCCCAACACATCTTCAAATAACACTTAAAGGGTTTGGACCTGGGCTTGAAATCTAAATTCAGCACTGTCAGGATTATGGGACTAGAATAAAGCTTGCCGTGTGTCGGGTGGGGCTGGAGAAATGGCTCATCAATTTGATGAACACTTGCTCTTGTAGAGGATCTGAGTTCAGTTCTAAGCACCCACACCAGGCTGCTCACAGTTAGGCTCCAGGGAGTCAGACACCCTCTTTCCCTGCTCAGGTAGTGCATGCAGGTGAAATATACATATAGACAGACATAAGGAATCCCTGATGTGATACACTATGGGCCTCAGGAGCTGCACCAGCCCTGTCTTTCACAGGGTAGGAGCCATGGGGGGCTTGATCCCACAATAACAGGAAGTGGTCACTTGGTAGTGTGTCTGTCTGGTCTCCACCTGTCAATGTCTTTCTTGTCACTGGCCCTGTTGTCTGACCTTGTTACAGGGTGTGCTCACAGCTTTCCAAAGTTTTCTTTGTGACATTTCTGTATAGGCATATTGTACTTTATCCATGTCCATACTACTACACTCCCTGCAAAAGTACCTGTTCATCCCCTAGCTGGTCTTTAAAAGCCAACAGAAGACTACTGGCTGTCTCTTGGCTTTCTCCATCCCAGGAAGAGCTCTGCACACATAGTGGGCCTGATGAACTGCAGTTGTGACATGGACCACGGGTGGCCTTCAGTGTACTTCATAGAAGGGCTGCTTGATCTTCAAGGGAAGCCCTGGGCCTCGGCATTCATTTCAACATAGTGCAAAGTGACTTTTGCCTTGAGTTGTAGTAATAGGCAAACGAGCCTTTTGGGTGGGAGAAATGCTGGAAGTTCCTTCCCATTACAAGTGTTTGGCATTTTTTTCCCATGTATCTGGCAGTGGAGGAGGATGGCTGTGGTGGCCCCCATATACAACATAGTCTCAAGTCAAACCAGAAGGGTTCCATACTGCAGATACAGAAAGGCCCCTCCAAAGTGGCTAGGGGACACTGCTGTCCTGTGCTCAGGCTTTATTCTGGTGTACTTTCAAGGAAGTTGCTTGTTCACACTTGTAGAAGGTGTAGCAGAAAGGAACATGCATTGGTCCATGTCTGTGCCTTATTGACAACGGGCTGGAGGATATCAATGGGTTGTTGAAGATACCCAGCCTGGCATCGTGTCCTGAGGCAATGGTAGGCAAAGGCAGTGCTAAGTGGAGTGAGGTCTTATCAGATGTTAGAACTGTAAGAAACACAGGTATACAGTAGCACCCTCCTGTCCATAGGGGACATTCCAAGACCTCTGTGTATTATGTTTGTCACCGTGCAAACACCTGTGTGCGGTTATATAAGGTAGGTATAGTGGGAGATGAAGCCAGACACTGTGATAAGATTAAGTTAAGATAGTCTAAATAGCTTACTGTGGGTCTTAGCAACCCCAGCACAGCTCTCTTCTAACTATGTAGAACACTTTGGCATCACAGCTGTTGGAACACAAGAAGGCTACAATATGCTAGGTGGTGGTAGTGCATGCCTTTAATCCCAGCACTCGGGAGGCAGGGCCAGGCAGATCTCTGTGAGTTTGAGGCCAGCCTGGTCTACAGAGTGAAATCCAGGACAGGCACCAAAACTACACAGAGAAACCATGTCTCGAAAAAAAAGCCAAAAGAAAAAAAAAAAGGAAAAAGGCTATAATAGGAAGTGGGTAAGCCGAGGGAATTCACATCCAAGGCAGGAAAGAGCAGAATGGTGCAGTTATTAAATTGGTTGGTTGGTTTGAGACAGTCTCATAGCCCAGGCTGGCCTGAAACTGAATCCTGTGTCCACCTCCTAAATGATGGAACTAGGTACATATGCCCTGTTTATATGGTGCTGGGCTTTGTTAGGCAGGCATCCTACCAACTGAGCTACGTCCTGACCCTTTTGTTGTTTATTATGTAACTTGGCTAGCCTGGAATTTACTGTGTAGACCAGGTTTGCCTCAAACTTGAGATCCACCTATCTCAGCCTCCCCAGTGCTGGGATTAAAGGCGTGCACCACCACGCCCAGCTTGTTTGGTTTTTGAGATGGGTTTCACTGTGTATAGATAGCCAAGGCTGGCCAGACTTGAACTCCAAAGCAGTCTTCCTGCTTCGGTCTTCCAAGGGCTGGTATTCCATAAGCCACCACACCCACACAGGACACAAATCTTGAGTTAGGCTGTGTAGCTGGAAGTGTGGAAAAGAGCTTTATTCTGCTTTATTCCTCCCTCGAGGGTCCTGCCACGGGCTGACTGCCACTTTCCACTCTTGTCTCACTCCCTTTTCCCGTCCTAGGCTGTGGGTTCCATGATACTCTGGTAAAGGAGATCTGCCTTGGCCTCACAGTGCCCACATTCCCTCCGGCCCTATTCAGGAAGAAAGGTGCCATCACAACCCTGGGCTGTGGCCTCAGCAGCTGAATCTGCCCCACAGGACACCTCTACATTAGCCAAAAGGATCTCACTAGCTGTTTTCCTACATGGCTGTGGCAGTGGAGCATTGTGACTGTCTTGGTACCCTACATCTGAGTAGAATCATACCTAGACCCAGAGGGACTGGGGGTGGGCTGTGGATGGGGGAGCCTACTCAGAGGGCCGTGGAGGTTCTGAACTTCCTGTTATGGGTTGCAGGACAAGGGCAAAGTCCAAGCAATAGGTGGAGTGAATTTATCTGAATTGTGTGCCAAGTGCGGAGGGCCAGAAGGAGGGGGTCCGCTGTTTGCCACTGTGCCCTGAGGCCCTTTCACTGCCTATCTTACCAATGCTGGAAGAATTCTTGGTGACTCCTGTGACTTCTGGCATCAAATGCACATCAGAACAGAAAACTGAGAGAAAACACATCACTGTTTATGCTGTTGGAATGCTGTTTCTACATTAAGGGATCCAGCTCTGTGCTGTAGGCCTCCAGACCAATGAGTCCCAGGCCTATGGCAGAGTTGCAGGGAGGGGGTGGTTTCAGGACTCTGGGTTCTGGCGTACAGAAGCAGAAAGCAGCGGCCAAGGGAAGAGGGCCCCTAGCATCTCCATCTGGGGAGGGGTGGGAGACAGGCGGGCCTTCATCCTGGAGAACCGCCAGCCGGCATCCTGCCCAGGCCCTGAACAGGCTTCAGAGTAGATACTGCTCCCCTGTGTTGGAGTGACCAGAGCAGGCAGTGGAGTTTGACCACGTCCCTACTCAAAACACACTCAGGCTGACCTGCCAAGGGAAGCTAATGCAGATGCCTAGCCTGCCTGCCCACAACTGCAGCATCCTTGGAAGGCCGGTCCACCTTAAACAACAACGCCCTGGCGCTGGCCGGTGGGATTTCCCGCAGGTGGGGAGCATGCGCAAACTCTATTGAAGGCCTGGGCAGGGTACGGGCGCTTCCTTTAGGGCACCAGCCTCCTAAAAGCATTTCTCGGCCTCCTACTTTCACACGGCCTCAGTCAAGCCTGCGGCCTGAGTCAGGACGCAGAGGAACTCCGTGGCCCAACTCTAATGTCTGGAGGGCTGCGAGTTGGGTAAGGTTTTGATAACCATGATGCCCCTACCTTGTCACAGCAGTCTTCCCCCACACCCTAGTGACTGCCAGGGGACCTTCAGTCTGCCCCGGGACTGTGCTTGGGGAGCACATAGGCCCAAGAGGGCTCTCAGGCTAGGGCCTGAGGCCGCAAGCAAAAAAATCCAGGCTTCCCACGGTCCTGCAAGTACAGAAGTCGCGGCGCGTGCGTGGAGCGGCGGGCTGGCCCGCAAGAGGAGTCGGCCACCCGGCGCTCCGCCCTCGGCCCGCCCCCGCCGCGGCCCCGCCGCCGAGTCCACCTTAAGGGGCGCGCTGACATCAGCGCGCCGCCGCCGCCCGTGGGGTGGGATTTCCTTCGCTGCCGCTGCCGCGGATCCTGCGCCGCGTCCAGCCCGCGCGCCCGACCCCGGCCCGACCCGGCCGGCCCCGCCCGCCCGGCCCCGGGGAGGGATGCGGCGGCGCGGCGCCCAGGATGCCCCGCAGCCCCGGGACGCGCCTCAAACCCGCCAAGTACATCCCGGTGGCCACGGCCGCTGCGCTGTTGGTTGGCTCCAGCACCCTCTTCTTCGTATTCACGTGAGTCGGCGCCGGGTCCAGCGCCTGGTGGCAGGGGGTGTGGGGGTGGGGGGTGGCCGAGTGGGTGCACGTGCCCCACGGGGTTGGCGGCGGGCTGGGCGGATCTGCAGGGGGCGGCGAGGGCAAGGGGCAAGGGGCTGCGTCCCGGGAGCGCGGACAGGTGAATGCCTGGCCCCTCTGAGCGTTCTAGCAGGCCCTGGGTGTGGCTGCAGCCCTTCCTTCCCGCGGTGCTTTGGAGGGGGACGCGTGTCACCCAGAGTCACCAGCCCTCCTCGCAGGCAGAGTGGGAGCTGTGAGCCCCCTTGTCACGGCCAGCTTGTAAAGCCAAGTTATTCCTGCGATTCCCGCGTAGGTGTGGCCTGCCCCACAGCCGCGGCTGGCCACTCCGGCCTGGATCGTCTGCCCTCTCTAAGCACAATACTGTTAGAGGTTCCAGGCCAGGCTGCACCCAGGCTCCTACACTTCTAGTCATGAGCGACAAAAAGACCTAAGAGGCCAGGCCACCAGTTGTGGGGAGGGAGCATTCTTGCTAGCCTGGCATCCACTGCCTCCATCCTCTTGATAGGCAGGCTCACAGATCATGGGGTCCTAGTGGTCATTCTTGAGGATCCCTGACCACTCGTTTTATTCTACAATTCCTAAGCCTGTGTGTACAGGTGACCAGAGGGATGGCCATTTGTTTCCAGGTGGGACAGTCCCAGATGTGAGCCTGGGGTGGACCTGAGCCACCCTTTCCATTTCGGCAGCATTTGTGGGAGTCTGCATTCTGTGCCTGTTGGGGGAGGAGAGTCCTTACCTGGAGGCTGGGGTTGGGTGGGTGCCACCGGCTGCAAAGAGCAAGTTTAAAAAAGGCCTGTGTGGACAGGCTTATTTCTGGCACCAGAGAGCCTGTGTATTCTTGTCACTCAGATGTCGGGGACTGTGGGACAGGAAGGGGTGGTGGTAGGTGGGCTTGGGGAACTAAGACTAGAGAAAACACATCTTGGAAAATTCAGTTCTCCGGAGGTCAGAGTGGGGTTCTGTCTCAGTGGGGTATCTCAGGTACAGTGTCTTTTTAACATAACTTTAAAATTAAGACATGGAATATGGGAATAAAAGTTTGAAGCGACATTAAAATCCTCTGCCCCCTGCTCTCCTCTCCTTGGAGGATTCCTGTAGTTTCAGAGGGTCCTTCTGTGGTGGTTCCTGGGAACTTGACCCAGCCCCCAGCTTTAGTCTCTGAGGTTGCTACCATTCTCCTGGGCAGAGCTTCCTCTGCTGTTCTTGAAGCTGGAGTTCTGGGCCCATACCTGTTGGTGCCCTTGAGGTGTGGGACTCCCTTTAGGAGACAGCACCTCACCCTGTGGGTAGCCCACTCTGACTTAAGCTGGCCTTGCAGTCGGGAGGATGTGGTATGACTTGGGCACTGCTCAGTCTATGTGCAACTCATCTGCCCTTGGGTGAGTCGCTGAGGTGTGGGCATGGCTGGCTCGGACCTTCTTCGCCCCACTTTGGCTCTGCTGTGGGGACTCCAGGTGGCTCTGTTCTCAGAAGAAGCTCTGCTAGACAGCTGTGCTGATTTGGGGTATGCCATGGTCCAGGCAGGTCTGGTAGCCATACTGGGTTAGGTGTCTTTTTCAGGATAGGATTGGTATTCTCTCAGTGCCTCTCTCCTGCCCTGTCTCTGCCCCAGCCCACTGACACCCCAGACACTAAGAAAAGGGAGTAGTTTACCCTTGGGGTCTATAGAGGGTCCTGGGGCTTTACCTGGAGGTGAGTGACCCTTCTGTCTCCTCTTTGCACAACTGAGTGTGAACTACTTCTCCCAGGGCACAACTTACTTACATGCCAAGGAGAGCGGGGCAGCCGAGAAGGGAGGCCTGAGGAGTAAAGGACCAAGGACTCCCTCCCACTCCAGCTCACCAAGAGGGGAGGCCCCAACAGTGTGCAGCCTCTTCCTAGAATAGGCTAAGGATAGGCAGGGCGTGAAACGGGACTGATCTCTGGAGGTAAGGTGGGAGGCTGAGGTGACTTCTAAGCCCCTTTCCCGGGAAGCCTCCTGGGCTCCTGCTGGGGTGTGTCTCTCTCTATGGTACAGTGCCAAGCTGGGTTTGGTTCTGGGGTGGGTTCAAAGGCTTCCTCTAGGCCAGACTGCCTCCAGATCCACTTCCCAAAGGACATGGATAATGCAATCCCGAGGGTGAGGCTTGCTATCAGGCGGCCAACCCTGGAGCTGTTAGACCATCTGGACACCTGGGGAGGTAGAGCTGGTTCTCAGGTGGGCCTGAGCCCTCTGCATGGTTAGAGGCCTAGTCTAGGACAGCAGACAGTCCAGGTCTGGGTCCCTGGCAGCCTTGGGGGACCTAGTAATGACTGGAGCATCATGGGAGGGGGCCTAGGTGTGAAAACTCTATGAACTCGATGCCAGGGTGTCCTGCTTGTGGCGGAAACCACTGCATTCTTCTGAACCAGTTTCTCTGTCTGTTCAGATGTCTAGGGATTGGACAGGTGGGTGCAGCTGCTTCCTACTCTAAAGCGCCTGGGATGTCCAGAGTGAGTGACTGCTGTTGTGGGTCCTGGATGTCCCACAGGCCAATGATGCTTTCAGATACAGTGTTAATGAAGAACTTGATTCAAGGAAAATGTCTTGAGTAAAAATTTTCCATTCCACATTTAGCTTTGGCAGATATTCTGTCCCTGAAGTCACCCCCTTACTGGGCGGTGTTTCTCTGCTGGCCTAGGGCGGGGCTCTGGACCTCCACCTGGGTGGGGCTCATAGTGGTGGCTTGTGTTTTTGCCTGAGTTACTGCTGTTCAGAGCGGATCTCAGACCTAGAGTTCTTGGTGCCCTGGAGCTAGGAAACACACACACACACACACACACACACACACACACACACACACACCCCACAGACGCCCACACCCACACAGGCACCCCAGAGAGAGAGACACACACATACAGATACCCCACACGCAGACACACTCACACACAGATATCCTCCACACATACACATATACGTGCACATACACACACACACACACACACACACACACACACACACACACACACACCCCAGTCCCTAGCAGGAAAGGGTCTCTAGGGCTGTAGCAGGCAGAGCTGTGCTACTCGCCGGAAGCCAGATGTCCCACATCTGCAGGCAGGGCCTCTAGGCTGCCTGACTTTTTCTGACCCTCCTGCAAGTTCAGGACTCAAAGTGGTGCCTGCAGGGGTCTGTGGGCTGCCTCCAGCTGGGACCTCTTGGAGCCAGCCAGGGTGGGGCTGGCTTGGGGTGTCTGGTAGGCCCGGGCTGGAGTAGGATGGATTCCACAGGCAAGCAAGTACCTAGTGCTCTTGTGTGCCACGTCCTTTGGGAAGGCTGGAGTGTCCCTGAGTATTCTCCGGTGTCTTTGTGTGCTCACACATCCTTTCAGTCTTCGGTGGTCCCTGTGCTCATGCTTGCCCTGTCCTTGGAGGCAGTGGGAAAGGAAAGCCCAGAGAGGCAGAGAGCTTGCCTGAGTCCCGGGGCGGTGGGCAGCTGACCTAGGTTAGAGGAGCCTGAGCGGGGAGGAGGAGGGGTGTGCCACATGGATGTGTTCATGTGTGCCCATGCGGCAGTCTCTGAGCATGAGCACATGTGTGGGTATGTCTGTATGGTGTGTGTGCCTACCATAAGTGTCTGCATGCAAGTTGTCCTGCCTGTACCTGTGTCTACAGCTGTTCATTTTTCATACATGTGGAATGGTGGTCTGTGCTTTCATACATTTGTGAGCTGCAAATTCGTGCTTCTGTGTGCACATACATATCTCTGTGTAGGTGCCTTAGAGCATGCTTGTGTTCACATGTTTTCGTGTTCATGTTTCTGCATGTGCCAGTATGTATTGTGTTCCTCCCTACAACCCCCCGTCCCTGCTCAGCACACAGGCTTTCTGAGTCTGGACCCTATCCAGACCCTGGTGAGGAGACCACTAGGCCTTTTTTCTTTAAGAGGGGCTACCTAGGCCAGAGGGCCTCCGGCAGCACCTAGAGAGGACAGATGCTTGGTCGTGGACCCAGGTCAAGCTTTTGGGGCTTAGAAACGATGCAAGGACGGTGATGTAGTGACTTTCCCACTCAGTGCATCAGGCCCGCGGACACCTTCTGACACCCACTGGCCCCTGCTGTGTTTATACAGGCGGTGCTCACACTGGCCGGAGGCTACCCAGCACGTGGCTCAAGGACTGCCCCTTTGCTCCCCAGGCATCTCACTCAGGGCAACCGTCTGGTCCATCTGGGCTGCTAAAGAGCTTGAGGCTCAGGGGGCAACACAGACTACAGGCGGCCGCGCTGGTGGGGATCACTCTCAAGCCCCGGGAGCTAGGCCCTTTCTATTTCATAGGGAGTGCATCCCCGAAGCTAGCCCACGAGAAAGCCAGGAGTCAGCCTGGCCCCAATACCTGTGGGCTTCAGCTTCTTGTTTATAAAGAGGGAGACGTCATGGCTGGGAACACCAAGGGCTTCGTGCGGGACAAGGTCTTGTAAGGACCGAACCGTGCCTGGTCTCCCCATGTACACCTCCACTTGCTGCTTCTTCCAGACCTGTGTCAGTCTGTCCTTTACAGCCGCCCTGGGACCGCTCACCACTTCCGCAGGTGCCACTAGGATTTCATGCTATACTTCTGATTTTCTGACATGGGGTCCGGATTTTTACTTTGTATCAGTGTGGAACCAGCCCCTCCCATTATCCATGGCAGGGAGCTGGAGAGGACTCTGTCCTAGCAGGCCTGACTGCTTCTCTCAGGGGTGTCTCCCCTGCCTCCTGAGCCCTTCATTGCTGAGCTGGCCATACCTTAGGGTGCCACCATTGCTTTGCTGAACAGCATGGATTGGAGGTCACAGACGTATTTTAGTGCCATCTGCATTCCGGTCGGGGATGGGAAATACGGAGTGTGCCATGTGTCAGGGGTGAACTCTCCAGGCTGACAGGTTGGGTGTGATCTCCTGCTGGACACGCGTGGTGGCTGTGGCCTGTGTTGTCATGCTGTATGTCCATGCTGGCCCAGGGAAGAAGATGGGGTGTCATGGCTGGTGGACCCATAGAGGGTGCTGCCGTGGGAAGCAGGAGCTTTAAATAGCCTCTTGCTTCCCACTAAAAATAGTTCTGCTGCCATGGAGGTGGTTGCTGGGGCGGCGGGCCTGGCTCCTGGCCAAGGCAGGCGTGGGCGCACAGCGTGGACTGTGCACTCGGGTGGCGGGTAACTGCAGGCCCTGCAGACGGCCGCCATCACTCTGTCTTGTGGTTAGGGCAACCATGAGGGAATCCCCACTGGCCTGGCTCCACAGAGGACCAAACACAGGCAGGAGAGTAAAGCCCTGTGTGTCTCAGCTGCCAGTGACTCCAAAGAAAACTCTGGGAGCCTGAGGCCAGAGGAGCTTCTTGAACCCACCGGGTGGCCTTCAGTAGCCACTGCAGGGTCAGGACGGGGGCTTAAGACCTGGCATGTCACTGTGGAGAGGATTCTGGTCAAGCCCCATCAGGACCGAGGCAGGTGTGTTTGAGGAAGATGTGCAAAGCCACTGCAGAAACGCTACAGAGAGAAGCCTTCTGGAAGGCTTCCTGGAAGAGGCGGCAGCATTGGCTCTGAGTGCTGTGGGATGGTGAGAGATGATGGGAAGAGTAGGGGCATGAGCTTCTCCAGGGTTTGTAGGTCTCCTGTGCTGCCACCTGACGAACAAGGTGGCAAACCCCAAAGAAGGGACTGCCAGAAAAGGAGACTGTCCCACAGGCACTGGCTGAGGCGGGGCTGCTGCGGCTCTCCACACCTCAGAAAGTGTCCCTGCTGAGGAGCCAGAAACAGCTCCCGCATGGCCTGACTCAAGCTGCTGGGTAGCTTGCTGATCTCTGAGTTCTCAGTTCCTGTCTGGGTCTCGTAGGAGTATGGCAGCCTGGGCAAGTTGTATTTGGGTTGGCTTAGCTCTGTGGCCACCCCAATGTTGTGGCCCTAGGCTGATGGTCCCCTCCAAGGTATGTCCTCAGCTGTGAATTGTGTTCCAGACGTGGCTCTGGGGGTTGCCAGGGTCAGAGCTAGCCCAGGGAGCTTACACTGGGCATGGTGGAGACAGCCAAGGAGGAAAAGGAGGAGCGATGGGCTAAGATCTGCCTGTGTGACTGCCGGCGGCCTGGTGGGCCCAGATGCATACATGTGGCTGCGTCTTACAACCCTGACCTTTCCTCCCTCAGGCCCCCAGACCCAGCTGTCTGCCCATTGTTCATTGCAGGTGCCCATGGTTGACAAGAGCTGTGTCTCCAGCTATTCCTGTCTACAATGGCATCCTCTTCCTCTTTGTCCTGGCCAACTTCAGTATGGCCACCTTCATGGACCCTGGAGTCTTCCCCCGAGGTAGGGCCCTGTGGAGGGCAGCTCGTCTGCTTCTTTTCACTAGGGTGTGAGTGGATGACTTGGGATTCCCAGTAGGTGGGCTGGGCAGAGATTAGAGAGGTCCTCTCCTGCTAGGAAACTCACCCTCCTGTACTCTTGCCACCCTCCTGGGCTCCTGATGTTCAGCGGACGAGGACGAGGACAAGGAGGATGACTTCCGGGCCCCACTGTACAAGAACGTGGATGTGCGTGGCATCCAGGTCCGCATGAAGTGGTGTGCAACATGCCACTTCTACCGCCCACCCCGCTGCTCACACTGCAGTGTCTGTGACAACTGTGTGGAGGTGACCGCCCCTGCCCCTCCCCCCACCAGGCCCTGTGCCCAGTTCCTACCCTTCGTGCCTTCTGACACACTGCCCCTGCCAGGACTTTGACCACCACTGCCCCTGGGTCAACAACTGCATTGGACGTCGCAACTACCGCTACTTCTTCCTGTTCCTGCTGTCGCTGAGTGCGCACATGGTGGGTGTGGTGGCCTTCGGCCTGGTCTACGTGCTCAACCACTCAGAGGGGCTGGGAGCTGCCCACACCACCATCACGTATCCTTGATCCTCACATGGTCCAGCCCGAGGCAGCGTGTCCTGGGGGGTCAGTGGGTGCCTGACTCTTCCGGCAGAAGAGTCACCGTGCTTAGGCGAGAGGGGACCACAGGACTGTGTCACTGCAGTGGGGGTGGGCTCCCCTTGCTCTTGCCTCCGCTGTTGGCCTTAACGGTCCAGCATGGCTGTCATGTGTGTGGCCGGCCTTTTCTTCATTCCTGTCATCGGCCTCACTGGCTTCCACGTGGTACTGGTCACGCGGGGGCGCACCACCAATGAGCAGGTGCAGACCCTGTGGGCTGGGCCTCAGGAACCCTCACGTGAGGTTACTTAGGCAGCCGTGGGAGGAGGGGCGCAGGGTGTGGGGCCATGGCTACCCTTGTACACCTGCCACCCGTGAACATCGCAGCCACCAACAACTCGAGGCCTGGAAATGCTTTAACTCCCTGCAAGGGCGGGCAAAGACAGCCTGGGTGTGGGGCACCGCTGGGCCCACCGTGCCCACACTGCTGCCCACGAAGACCACTTTTAAGGACCCCACCTACCTTTGCCTGTCTCCCTGCCTGTCCTGGGTGGCCAGGCTGGCTGAGGGGTCCCATGTCCACAGGTGACTGGGAAGTTCCGCGGGGGTGTGAATCCCTTCACCCGAGGCTGCTATGGGAACGTGGAGCACGTGTTATGCAGTCCCCTGGCGCCCCGGTGAGGCCCGGCCTGGGCAGGGGGACAAGGAGGCCTGTTCTGGGTGTGGGGTGGGCAGCCTCAGACCCTCAGCCTGGTTCCTTTCTGCACTGGCCAGGTGGGGTTGGCCTCGCCTTGTCTGTCCTGGCCTGCTTGTCTGGCCACTGACCTCTTTGCCCTGGTACAGGTATGTGGTGGAGTCCCCTAGGATGCCGCTCTCAGTGAGCCTAAAGCCACCCTTCCTGAGGCCTGAGCTCCTGGATCGAGCTGTGCCCCTCAAGGTCAAACTTAGCGACAATGGGCTGAAATCTGGCCGCAGCAAGGTGGGGGTCTGGACTGGAACAGTAAGGAGGCTGAGAGTGGGGCTGTGGGGTGTATGGGTGGGGGCAGGAAGAAGAGGTAGAGAAACTGGGCAAGTTTTGTGCATGTGTCTAGAGTCACAGGAAGATACTATTAAAAAAACCTAAACTTCAGGCTGGGCGTGGTGGCACACGCCTTTAATCCCAGCACTGGGGAGGCAGAGCCAGGCAGATCTCTGTGAGTTTGAGGACATCTTGGTCTACAGAGAAAAACCCTGTCTTAAAAAAGCCAGCTGGGCAGTGGTGGCGCACGCCTTTAATCCCAGCACTCAGGAGGCAGAGCCAGGCGGATCTCTGTGAGTTCGAGGCCAGCCTGGTCTACAGAGCGAAATCCAGGATAGGCACCAAAATTACACAGAGAAACCCTGTCTTAAAAAACTGGGAAAAAAAAAAAAAAGGAAAAAAACAAAGCAAAACCACACTTCACCCACCACTGCTCCCTCTTCGCTAGTCCAAGGGCAGTCTAGACCAGCTGGATGAGAAGCCCCTGGACCTTGGACCTCCACTGCCCCCCAAGATAGAAGCTGGCACCTTTGGAAGAGATCTGAAGACCCCAAGGCCTGGCAGTGCTGGTGAGGTGGAGGGCAGCTGAGGAAAGGGACGTGGACTGACCCTTGTGTGACTCCCCCGTGACGGTGATCCCTCTTCCCAGAGAGTGCCCTATCAGGACCGAGGACCAGCCCCCCAACACCTGCCATGTATAAGTTCCGGCCAGCTTTCTCCACTGGTCCCAAGACACCCTTCTGTGGACCCAGTGAGCAGGTAAGTCCAGGCTCTGCCTCTGGGAAGGGCCCAACTCTGGAGACAGCCCTACCTCTGGGAGGAACCTGCCCCTGGGAAAGGTCTGTCCTCGGATAGAGCCTTATTTGGTCATGGTGTCCTGTCCCTGTCCCTCTTGTGCTCCTGACAAGGCCGTCCTTGTCAGAGTTGTCCTGTGCATGCTGGCAGGACTCCATCCTGTGGGCATGCTGAGCTGGGGTCCCTTGGAGGGGAGGGTGTGCGATCGTCCTGGCCTGGCTTATCTTTTTCTCCATTGGCATTGCCCTTAGAGCAGGTGGGCAGCTTCGCCCTCTGGTAGTTAGGATGTCTGGAATTCCACCATTAGTCATTCTGTAAGACCCACGGGAAGCCCTTAGAAGAATTGAAGGTTTGTTTGAGCACATTTATTTTCCTGAGTTAAGTACTTCTTTGTCTACCACTGTGGAACAGTCAGCAGCATGGAGCAGCCTGTGGTGTTCCCAAGGCTGCCATCCCTCCTAGAGGTTGCCTACGGGACTAGTTCCACACATCTAGACCAGCTCTGCCCTGGGGGCCTCCTTATCTGGTCCATTGGGTGAGATTGTGAGCCTGGGCCCCTATGGGTGAGGGTCCGTTCTAGGGGCAATGTGGTAGCCTTGTTGCCCAGCAGGAGGGTTGTGTAGGTTGGAATGATGGGCTTCAGATGCCCTTCCTGTGCTATCACCTTCCTGTGACTGATCTGTGCCCCACAAAGGAATCCATAAGGCTGCCTGAGTATACCAGGACAATATTATTCTTTCAGGCTTTGGAATTTGAGGGGCGTGTGGCTCAGCCCTAGTCACAGAGACTAAAGAAGCCCTCTACCTGTGGCTGCTCTAGGTTAGAGAGACCCAAGACCATGGACCTGTATGTCTGAAGAAACCAGCTCTGTCTGGCCTTTCATTACAGAGTCCCACCCTTGGTTGCCTTAGAAAGGGTCCTCGTAGCCTGTCTTAGTGATTGTGGGTAGAAGCAAGCCCCACACCACCTCTCCTTGGGAGACAAACTCTAGGGACGTGGTACTGAGTCTTCTGTTCGAACTTCCGTCCATAGTAGGTGGGTGTGGGGCAGGGACGGGAACCTTCGTTCAGCAGATTGTATTAGTTGCCCTTGCTTCCATGGCTGGCGTATTGAACCACAGCCTCAGAGTTCTTGGTGCTGTAGGGTCAGGTAAGGGGTGAGGGTGGGCAGTGGTGAGAGCGCCCTGTCCTCCTACAGGTCCCAGGCCCTGACTCCCTTACTCTGGCAGATGACAGCACCCACAGTCTAGACTTTGTGTCCGAGCCCAGCCTGGATCTCCCAGACCATGGGCCCGGTGGTCTGCATCCTCCCTATCCCCCTTCCCCACCCCTCAATGCCACGGATGCCTTCTCAGGTGCCTTACGCTCCCTGAGTCTCAAGGCTGCCAGCCGGCGGGGTGGGGACCACATCACCCTCCAGCCACTGCATTCTGAAGGTGGGCCCCCGACACCTCACCGTGCCCTCTTTGCCCCTCATGCACTGCCCAACCGCAATGGCAGCCTGTCCTATGACAGCCTACTTAACCCTGGCTCACCCAGTGGCCACGCATGCCCCACACACCCCTCTGTTGGCATGGCCAGCTACCATTCACCCTACCTGCACCCTGGGCCATCAGATCCACCACGGCCCCCACCCCGCAGCTTCAGCCCTGTGCTGGGTCCCCGGCCTAGGGAACCCTCTCCTGTGCGCTATGACAACCTGTCTCGGACCATCATGGCCTCTATCCAGGAGCGCAAGGACAGGGAGGAGCGTGAACGCCTGCTGCGCTCCCAGACTGACTCACTCTTTGGCGATTCTGGTGTCTATGACACACCCAGCTCCTACAGCCTGCAACAGGCCAGTGTGTTAACAGAAGGTCCCCGTGGCTCTGTGCTGCGCTATGGCTCCAGGGATGACCTCGTGGCTGGGCCTGGCTTCGGTGGTGCCCGAAATCCTGCCCTGCAGACATCATTGTCCTCACTGTCGAGCTCCATGAGTCGGGCACCGCGGACATCTTCTTCCTCCCTGCAGGCTGACCAAGCCAACAACAATGCCCCAGGACCCCGGCCTGGCAGTGGTTCACACAGGTCACCCGCCCGTCAGGGCCTGCCTTCCCCACCAGGCACTCCCCGATCTCCCTCTTACACGGGCTCCAAGGCTGTTGCCTTCATCCATACGGACCTCCCGGACCGGCCACCCTCACTGGCTATGCAGAGGTGGGTGCCCAGAAGTGTAGATGGGTTTGTCTGTGCAGGGCCCCTGATGACCTGGTTCTCCCAGCTCAACCTGGAGACCCACGGTTGTCTACAGGGACAGTGTAAGGTGGGTGGGCTTTACCTTGCCTTCAAGGCCCCTAGTTACCCTGTTGTGGAAGGTCTGGCTCTGGGTACATGATGCATGTGGGAACAGACACAGTTGCATGCTGAGCCAGCACAGACTTGGCCCAGGGCCCTCCCTGGAGCCAGCCACACATGGATCTGTGGACTCCTACCTTCCCAGGCACATGGTCCTCCCCTGGCCTCGACATGTGCTCAGCATGCTAAGACTAGGGGGTATTGCCTCACCACACCTGATACGCACTTGAGCTTGAAGCCCCAGAAGGCAAGGGGCCTCCATGCTTAAAAAATGGGGAAGGGCAGGTGGGACCCAGGTACCTGAGCATTGGTTTCATTGTTTTGGTCTCTGGTGAGTCCTGAGAGGAGACCCTGTTTGGGCTATGTGGCTACAAAGGACCCATAGGGTATCTCTACCTATGCAGGAGCTCCTTGGTTTGCTCAGGAGTGGTGAGGTGGGGAGACCAGCTACAGTTCCCTCAGGGGAACACTAGTCAGCTCTGGACAGGTCATAGGGGCAGTGCTGCCCCTCATCTTCCTGAGAGTGGGCAAAGAGTTGGGGGCCCACTACTGGGCTTCTCAACTTCAAGCCTAGTGGACAGGGTAGGGCCCAGAGACTCAGGCTGGCTGCTCTTTGGCTGATTCAACTGGGAGAGATCAAGGTACCCATGAGGATGACAGCAGTTCTAGCAATATCTGTCTGTGCTGTGATAGCACAACCCTCTAAGGGAGAGGACTGCCCAGGGTCCACATCTGCATTGTCCTGCTGCCCACTGTCCTGTGTTCACTGTCTGTGCATGTTTTGATGCAGGGATCACCCTCAGCTGAAGACCCCCCCAAGTAAGCTTAACGGGCAGTCCCCGGGCATGGCCCGTCTGGGGCCTGCTGCCAGCCCCATGGGGCCCAACGCCAGCCCTGCCCGGCACACGCTGGTTAAGAAGGTATCCGGCGTGGGTGGGACTACGTACGAAATCTCGGTGTAAGAACTGAGCACCACTCATCTGCTGTGATTCCACGGGGACCAGGACCCCCACAGTAGCTCCCCCACCCCCATCAACTTCTCTGCCCCAGGGAGAGGAGGCTACCCAAGCCTGGTGTGGACACATCAACAGGAAAGAAAGCCCTGCCTCCACAAGCTTGTGCTCCGGCCTCTGCCTGTTCATCAACTTACCTGCTCACGGGGCAGATGGATCCAAGGCTGTGGGCTGTGATGGGGACCTGGACCGCCTCCTCCATCAGCCAGTCTTGGCCCTGCACCCTATTGCCCTCATTCCCCAAGGCCAGTCCCCAACAGTCCCACGGGCCCACTCTTTCCTTTCTGGATGGGTTGCTCTAGCCCTGTGCTCCCAGCTGCTCCTAATACATGGCCTTTCACTGACCTAGCTGGTAGCTTGTTGCTTGGCAAGGCCTATGCTTTGCAGGGAGTGTAACCCTGGCCTACTCTGGGTTGGGATGGATGGATGGACAGATAATCCAGCTGTAGCAGGGGTCCTAGCTCCCTGTGTTCGTCTTGCCTGGCTGGTGGGTTTATGTCCATGTCTGTATGCTCTGCTGCCGTGCCTCGTCTGACGTCCTAGCGCTCGGCTGCCACTGTTCTTTCATCAAAGCCTTAACTTCTGCTTTATGCTCTTGTGGGAGGTGATGGGAGGATGGTAGGCCAGAGCAGGGAGGGGACCAGATGCTGCCCCAGGGACTGGTGGGGGCCTGGAGCCCCCCTCACTCACTCTCAGGCCTACCCTGCCAAACTGGAGAGTCCTCACCCCAAAGCATACAGAGTTCCCAGCACTGGCTTGGCCAGTGCCGCTGGGAAGTATATCAGGGAGGGTCAGTTCTCCCCCGGCACCAGGGACCCGAGTAAGCACATGGCAGCGTCCGCTTGCATTGTCTGTTTTACGTTTTTATATTTACATCTATATATCTATAATTTTATTAAAAAAAGGAAAAATCATTTTGATCCTTTCCTTGGGCAAAGGCTACGGCTGTGGATGCAGGGGAGGGTGTCAGGAAAGGGGTTGGCCAGCTGGCACAGGGTGGCACGTTCCTCTTGGACATTTCTGATGACGTGCCAAGTCAGACCAGTTGGTAATGGGCCTTCGGCTGGTGAGTCTGTGTCGTGTTGGACAGCAGGGTTTGTGGTGACAGGCTAGGACCACAGCTGCCTCCTGGGACTCCGAGGCAGGTGCACTGGAGGGGGCACCTGGGGCCAACACCTGGCTGAGAGCCCTACAGAAGTTACTGTACTTTCTAGAAATCACTCTTCTGTGCTATATGCCAAGGGAGGGATTACAGAGTGCCAGGAAGCCACATTTTTCTGAGCTAGGGCTCAGAGCAGGGCTGGAGAGGGCTGGGCTAGGTCCAGTATCTTGGGGAGGGATTTCCAGGGATTCTGAGGGGAGGTGTCCAGAGCCTAGGGCCCCATAGCTGTACCCCAGCTGACCTCCATCTTTCTGCTTCTCTCTCATGGACGTCGGCCCACAGGGGGCGAATTGGCACCTGTAGTCGTGGATGGGGGTGGCGTGGTCCGCCTAGGGGGACTCCTGGCCTGCACCTCTGCCACCTTGGCCTTCCCGAGGATCACCCGCCGCTGCGGGCCCCCTGGAGCGTGGCCGCTGGGGCGCCCCCCCGTGGGACCATTTGCCGGCTACACTCTGCTGCATCCAGCCTTTTCCCCAGCCTCTCAGGTCCCTAGCAGGACACCAGTAGGTGGCTCTAGGGTCATGAACAACCTGCTGGGGATGCAGAAGACCAGGCTGCTGGAGAGCTTAGAGTGGGGTTGGATGTGGCCCAGGATCCCTGTCCGTTCCCTGTCAACCAGCCACATCTTGACTGATCAGTCTGCCAGGGCCCATGACCCTGTGTCCAGGTGACCTCAGGAAGTCCCCCCATCTGCTGCAGGGGTCCAGTGCCCCACTGGGGGTGGCCCCAGAGCTACTGGGAACCAGCATGACGTTCACCCCAGCCTCCCTATCCCTTCCAAGCACTTTAAGCCACTCCTCTGGGGAGCCCAGGCCTCTGTGGGTTGGGCTGGGGTGGGGGTCTCAGGTCATTGCAGGCTGCTGCATCCCTCCACTCCACCCCAAGCACATGAACAGATGCCTTAAAGTCCTGGAGCTGCCAGCCAGCCTGATGGACCACAGACTTGGCCCATCCATCTCTGCCTCTTGCCTGTCCTGACCCCACTTGGGCCTTCTGTATTCAGGGGTGATGCTCTAGGAACACCCCAGCCTGCAGGCCTGGTTGCCTCTAGAAGGGCAGAACCCCTGCCAACTCCCCCTTTTGCACAGGGACCCTGTCCTGGGGTCCACTCTGGGCAGCAGCTCTGTGTCTCCCATTTGGGGACCCAGAGTCCACAAAACTCTCTTCTGTTCTACAAGATTTCCTCCCTCAACTACCCTAATAAATTTTTTTTGTGTTTACCTCTGTGGCACTATCCAGCAATGTGAATCCCCTTGCTTTAGCCTTGGACAGTGCCAGGGGGCTGAATTGACAGGGACCCTGGGGTGAGGGGTTGATAGCCCTGGCAGGGTTGACAAGATTGGGTGGGTCAGCAGATTCAGGGCTCTGACTTCTGAGGTCCTCAGGAGGGCCTCATCCAGGAGGTAAGCCCCAAGGACTCCCGTAATTGCCAGCTGTAGCCTTTTAGGGAAGACCATCCTGACACCCCTCATGCTCCGGGGGGCCTTTATGGAGGAAAACCTTTGAGGGCGGACAGGAGCCAAGACTGGGGTCTGAGGCAGGGGCCTCAACACCACACCCCAACTACCAGACCAACAGAGTGCCTCAGAGAGTTCCCCAACCTCTTCCCCCCAAAGCCCCAGTTTCCATGGAAACAAGCTTACATGCAAAGTGTGTCATGACTGTATGTCCAGCTGCAGGCCCAGCCCTCAGGACAAGCCCCTCCTCCACCCTTCTCTGCTGCTCCTGGTAGGGACTGTGCAGCAGGGCTGTAGGCAGTCAGGAACCAGTTAAAGCCACCGGGCCCCGGGGGCAGCACCAGCCACCTGGCCTCCTCCTTCTGGGGCCTCTGTGCCTCTGGCCTAGAAAGGCAGGAAGTCGTCCACCTCGAGGCGCAAGAAGGGGCCCAGTAGGGCCCTGAGCTTCCAGACGGCGGCTCGGCTCAGCAGGGGTGGCACCAGCCCCTCGAAGGGTGCAGGGTCAACCACGTACACGTAGGCCGCTGTGCAGGCCAGCAGAGCACCCAGCAGCAGCCTCAAGGCCAGCAGCCTGCAGGCGGTGGCAGTTAAGGGGTAGGGAATGCCCATGGGGATGATCCTGGGGCACTGGGCTCTGCCCAGAAAGTGACCTACCAGAGCTGGCTCTTCAGGCCCTCGGGACATCCCAGCTGTGACCTGTCTTTCTGTTGGGGAGGGGGCTGGGTCAGAGCCTGTTCTCAGTACCTTGGGGGCCCTGGGGAAGGGCAGGGCCCTAGCCCTGAGGTGCCCACAATATATATGGACTCCATTGTGGGTCAACCAGCTGGGCTCCTTCCCCTCTCCCTTCCCAAGGATAGTCTCTTGCAACCACTGGGCTCTAGCCCTGAGACCTGGTCCCTGTGGTCCACTTCTCAGAATCTCCCTAGCAGTACCCTGGGTGGGGACTCTGGAATCAGAAGGGAGCGGGGAGGACTTACTTCCATGCATGACATCTGCTGCTGCTTCCTAGCCTGAGTGCGGCAATGGGCCCTCTCCCTGGGGGAATCACACTGTGAGGACCATGCAGCCCTCACCCCCACCCTGGCACCACCTCTTCTGTGGGACCGGAGATGCGAGAAGGGTCCACCCCATCCCGACCTGGTTCATCCCGGGTTCCCCGCATCACCCCAGAATCTCCAGCTGAATGTCTTCCATCTGATCTAGCACACCCCGGATATCCTTCTTGAGGTTCTAGGAGGCAGGGGAAGTGAAGCTGGTCCTCTGCCCCTCCATTGTGCCATACCCACTGCCTCTCAAGGCTGTCATCCCTACCACGGCCCTTTGATGACCTACCAGGAGCCCGGTGGCCTGGTTGTTCAGAGCCATGTGTACCTCAGCCACACCGTCCCACACCTGGGGGCAGGGAATGGGGGGCCTGCATCACACTCAAGGATACAGCAGGGGCTCCCTTCCACCACCAGCCAAGCAGGCACCTCAGTAATGGCCATCTTCTTCCTCTCAAAGGACAGTCGGATCTGTTGCAGCTCACTCTGGGTGGGGAGGGGCAGTGTGGGCACAGGAACCTGCTTCCTGCTCCCCAGGCCAAGCCCCTCTTCCCCGGGGCCCACCTGGGACTGGGGGCCCACCTGGGACTGCCGCACAAAGGACTCTTGGCCCCGGCAGAGCTCCTGCTGCGGCGGCAGCTGCACAGGTGCCCTGTCTTCCAGGGGCCGGGTGCAGGCAGACTCAGGGGATGGTGGGAAAGCCCCCAGGTCATGCCCAAGGCTGTGGACAGCTCGAGGCGCTGCTGCAGGGGTCCAGGGCTGCGCACTCCCTCTTACCCAGGCCAGGGCTGTGCAGCTTGAGTGCTCGGCACACAGAGGCAGGAACTGCTGCCCTGGCCCCAGGAGGGCCCCCAGCTGCTCCCGAAGGTCCTGGTTTTGTCTTTTCTGGGGTCAAGGGACACAAAGAGGGGGGGGTCACCTGTCCTGGTTGCTTCTTAGGCAGGAAGCCGAGGCAGGTGAGCTTGGGCAGGAGCTCTGAGGACCAGCGAGTGCCCACTGGCCCACGGGATGCACTCACCAGGCTGTAGTTCTCCTGCTCCAGCTGTAGAAAGGATTGCTCTGCAGATCCCAGTGTCCCCCCACTCTGGAGCTTCGTGGGAGCTGTCCTGGGTGAGGCTGCGGCTCCTCCTCCGGGAGGCATGGTTGGACATGGGCAGGGCCTGGGTCCTGAGGTGGGGGATGCTGCCTGCCTAGGTGGCACCTGTTCATGCCCTGGATGCAGGGGCCAGCCCCACTCTACCTCGGCCTCCACTTCTTGTCTGGACCCTGCTGGCTCTCGAGCTCTCTGCCTTGGCATCTCTGCTTCTTCACTTGACAGAAACATTCCAGGTGCCTCTCCTCCCACTCTGGGTCCCCCACCCCCTGTCCCTGGAGCAGGGAAAGGTCTGGAAGACTCTAATGACTGAGTGGACTGATGGGGGACCAGACAGGGCCACCTTACATATCCCTGACAGGGCTGATCCAGGCATCCTCCGTGACTGCTTGAAACTGGGGCTGGAGGACACTGGGGATGAGAGTGTCCACAGGGCCCCAGGGGGTTTGGCCCCTCCATTCCTCCCTGTGACCCCTTTCTGACCCCAGGTCCAGGCTCTGGCCTGGCTGACCTGCCACTCTCTTTGAGGGCACTTTAGATGTCACCCTGGCTCACAAATCTACCCAGGGTGACAGTCACAAAGGCCTGGGTACAGCCAGGGAGGTCACAATGGGCTGGGGCAGAAGCAAGGCTAGTGGTCCATTCTTGTCTCAGTCCTGTTCTCACTGTCTCCGAAGCCCCTGCAACTACGTGTTCCCTCTGTGTGTGGAGGAATGTTCATGGTGCCTGTTCAGTCTCAGAAGGCTGGCTCTAGGGAAAATTGCCCTGGGAGAGATCAAGTGTGACAACAATGACCACCCAAGTGTGTGTCCCTGTCAGGATCCGGCTGACTAAAGGTGGACAGGTAAGACCATCAAGACCCCACCCCTTTGATTATGCCCTCAGGTCCAGTCAGGTTGCCAACGACCTGCTTCTGAGCCCAGGTTAAATCATGCTCATGTCTGTTTAAGAGTGGGAACAGCTGACATGACACCACGTGAGTCTAGAGGCGTCTTACCCTGCCTGAGGTCAGGCTGGAAAGCCGGTCCGAGGATGTGCTCTGCTTGACGGCCCTCTCTGACCCCAGAGGCCCCGACGTTCCATGCTGACAGATGTCTTGCTGCTCACGGTTCTGGGTGCTTGGTGGCCAAGTTGCATGTTTTGTTTACTGGCAGTGCTGGGGATGCAGTCTAGGGTCTTGTGCGTACAGGGTAACCATTCCATCCCTGAGCTTCCCCCAGCCTAGCTCTTCTGTTTTTGCTTTTTTTTTTTTTTTTTTTCTGAAACAGGGTTTCTCTGTGTAGCTTTGGAGTGCCACCACCGCCTAACTGGTTTTTCATTTTTAATAGTTAATATCTTTTTATTTGTATGTATCATGTGTATCTCTGTGTGTATGTGTATATGCGCATGTGTGCATGCCCTTGGGGGCCAGAAGACAGCACTGGATCCCATGAAACTCGAGGTACAGGTGATTGTTAGCCACCTGCTGTGGGTACCGTAAACTGAAGTCTGGTCCTCTGCAAGAGCAGGAACTGCTTTTAACTGCTGAGCCATCTCTGCTCCCCCATGGATGTTCCTTCCGTCTTGGGGTGTAATATCTCATCGATTTAAGTCTCTTCTGTTCCCCACTTCGTTGGAACTCCCAGCAGGTGTTGGGTCCCTCCTGTGTGTCTTTAATATTTGTATGTCAATTCCTTCAAGTCTTAACTCTCCCTTACTTTAAAACAAATATTTTTTGTGTACATGCACGTGTGTGATTTATTTATTTGTATTTTGTGTGTATGTGTGTTTTGCCTGCTTGCATGTTCATCGTGTGCATGCCTTGTGTCCATGAAGTATTTTTGTTGTTGTTGTTTTGTTTCAGAGTCTCTCGCTGGGGCCTGGAGCAGTCTGATTAGACCAGGCTAGACCAAGCTATCTGGCCAGTCAGATCTGGCCAGATCTGCCCATCTCAGCCTCACTGTACTGGGATTACAGTGTGAGCCACCACACCTGGCCTTTTCCAGGGCTCCTCGGGGTCCGACTCAGGTCCTCAGGCCTCAGTGACAAGCTCCTTACTCACTGAGCTTTAGCCCTTCTCTCTCACTTTATACGCAGTCTTGTGTTGTGTAACGGTGGGGTGCATTCTGAGGAACTTGCCAGTAAATGATTTGGCGTTCTAAAGTATACATGTGTAAGCCTAGACGGTGCCATTTCCTACACACCTGGGCCGTGTGGAAGCTGGGTGTGAAGAACCTGGGTGTGAAGAACCCATCGCTCCTTGCGTTGTTTGGAATGGAGCGGTGTGAGGCTGAGGAGAGCACAGAACGGGACAACTGAGCACTAGATGTCAGAGACTCACGTGAACTCAGCTGTGTTTTACAGGCAAACACCACACACTCTAAAATAACAAACGTCTCGCGGTACATGCATAAGGGAGTATCATAGCTGTTTATTGCTGTTTTGCAGTGCTGGGCACGGCACCTCGTGGGTACTGCACTCGGTGCCACTGGCAGAGCCGTGGGCGTGTTCTTTCCTTTCCCACTCCAACGGTGAGCGCCGCGTCATGTCTCGGTGCCTACGGCATAATTAACTGATAGGAGTTTTTCAATGCCACCAAAAGGTTTTCGCAGTGATGGGGATGGAACCCAGGCCTTTGCACATGATAGGCAAGCAGCTACGGTTGAGTCACACTCTCGGTCCTCAATATTATGCATTCTTATGGGACCACATGTGGCCTGTCATTGACCGAAGTGTTAGTAGCACATCATGGTCCATTAAAAAGCTTTGAATTTCAGTGGTCGTATTTTTAATTCCTGAGGTGTTACTGCTAACCCCTGCATGCAGCTTCTTTTTTCAGAGTATCCTGTTCTCTCTTCAGAATAGAGTGGTTTGGGGCGAGAACAAGATCTTTTGCGGCCTACGTTTTCTTTTTCTCCCTTATGGTTCTTTGGTTCTGTTTTCCTTTATGTGTGGTCTCTGTTTATGAGGGAGTTGAGAAAGCTAACAGGTGCCTTTTCTGTTAAACTACAGGGGTGGTCCAGGTCTAAGAAGGGTGAGGGTCTTGCCACACATCTCCCTGCTCCAGCTCCAATGTCTGGAATGAAGACCTACAGAGTGCCTAGAAAGTTCTGTTGGCAGTTGCCATAATCAGTACTGGAGCACAAGCTTGCTCTGATTCCGTTTTCAGTTCACTGCTGTCCCTTTACAGATGGTCCCTCTCCTGCTGTCTTGCAGACCTGGAATGAATACCCAGCAGAAGCCACTGAGACCAGTGGCAGAGGAAGCGGTGTATACTACAATTACAGCTCGGGCTGGGCCCGGCTGGCCACACTAGCTGGAGCTCTGCATTTTCCCAGGATGGGACATATACATATACATATACACCCATAGCAACAGGCAGAGACTGGCAATAGTGTAATGGGAAGGGCCTGGAGTTGCCTCAGTGTGTCCTAAACTACTCAGCAGCTCCCTACTCGGTTCCCTGGAGGGTGCTAGGTCTTCCAAGCCCTCTGCCTGTCCACTCCTCTCTGGGGTCTCATGGTTACCAGGACATGCTAGGAAGGCCCTTGGATGGTATTTGGTGTGAGGTGGCTGTGGGTAGGGGTGAAGGGCAGCACCAGCAAAGGCCCTGAGTAGCTGACATTGTGGTGGCTTCACCCTGTATTCTGTGTCTCCAGCCTGGTAAGTTCCCAGTAGATGCTGAGGGTTCTTAGGGACTCCTGTCCTGTGTGACTAGAACAGTCTCACACAGAGGCTGTAGGCTAGGGTCCTCAGGTCGCAACTCCAGATGCTCAGGTTGGGCTACAGCTGCTGAGCAGTCGTGAGGAAGGACTCAGGGCACTTTAGATGCTCTTCTGCACTCCTGTCTGAGACCCTAGGGTGCCTACCTTAATCTGGAACCCCACATTCTCTGATCACCTTACCTTTGCTTGAGCTGTGCCCTATTTGGAAGGCTGGCTTCTCTCAGAGCCAGCCCTGAAGATGCCTTTTCTGTCTCCATGGTCCTTGTATGGTCTTGAGCTCCAGAGTGTCCTGGGATGAGGGGGGAGTCCAGAAGGAGAGAAGAATCCTGAGTCTGCAGCGTGGCTGGTTCCTGCTTAGAGCGTCAGCTGTGCTAACGCGTTAACCAACCTGCGAACTGGTGTGTTGGATTGGGGTGAGGGTCTGTGTGGAGCCCTGGCTCCAGGCAGAAGAGCTGGGTAGAGGACCTGGAGAGGTGCAGAGACTCACAGCCACACAGAAAGTGTGGGAAACGAGAGTGTGTTGTTAGGAGCTAGAGTGGCCCTGGCCCCTGTTGCTAGGCAGCACACTTCCCTGGACACCAGTTGCCATGGCAGCCGCTTCCTGCCCATGTTGCCATGACACCCGAATGGCCTTGAGGAGCCTGGAGTGGTGGTAAGGGGCTAGCTACTCAGACATACTCATCCCTCCTTGGCTGGTGGTGCCCAGGGGATGCTGGGGAAAGAAGTGTGTGTGGGGGAGAGTTCGTGCTGTCCACAGCTTCTTGCCTGCAGCTGGCCTGGGATGAAGACAGGAGCCACATGGTGGCCTTGGCATTCAATGTCCCACCTTCATTTCAGGGCCTGAGTAAACTCAGAGTCACAGAACCAGCCTCACCCATGAGGGGTTCCCATCTCTTGGACTTTTTTGTTTGTTTTTTGTTTTTTTCAAGACAGGGTTTCTCTGTGTAGCCCTGGCTGTCCTAGAACTCCCTCTATAGACCAGGCTGGCCTTGAACTCTGCCTATCTCTGCCTCCCAAGTCCTGGGATTAAAGGCATGCACCACCACGCCTGGTCCATCTCTGTGCTTTTAACCCTGGCTTCTGGCCCAGACCCACCCTCTCCACTTGCAGCCTCGGAGCATCTGTGTAGGACTAGAGGATCCTAGCAGACCCCAATGAATGGACCTGGGGATTTTCGGACATTCCTGGAGAGGCCTTGGGATTGCCTTCTCTCACTTGGGACTCAGGTCACTCCTTTTACCTCCTTCTCAGGACCTAGGGTGTGGCCTAGGCATGAATTCTCCTTTGGTCTATTAGAGATGCAGAGTAACACTTGGCTGTGGCTCTGAGTCATGGCCTCGGATCTCCCGGGTATCCTTAGACTCACAACCAGAGGGACAGATGAGGGATGAAGTGGCCTAAGTGACAGAGGCATCCCAGGGCCAGAAGGTAGGGGCTGTTAGGTCTCTGTTCCTGGTAAGGTAGACACATGCTTCTCGGAGCTGTGTGACCTCCTCTGCCCTCCCCAGTCTGCAGTGGGCAGGGTGCAGAACAAGCTGGGAGCTGGGTCCCGGATGATGGTGTGGGCCTTAGAACTAGGCATGCAGGTTCACACTTGTGTGTATCAGGATTGTGTGAGGCTAATGCAGAAGGATTGCCATGAGTGTGAGGCCAACGTAGGATACACAGTGAGACCCACTCTCTATGTCTTATACCCCCAAAAGAAGGCACTAGGTGGGCTGGGTCCTTGAGGTCCTTCTGGGGATCCCCATTTCAGAGGCTAAAGCTCTTGGAGGGAGGGTACACCCGTGGGCTGCCCAGTCCCCAGTGTGGCTTTTGTGCTCTCAAGATGTGTGTAGTGACAGGCCATTTGTCTCTCTCCTCCGTGGTCACTCTATGGACACTACTGTTCATGTTTTTAAATTTAAGAATCAGAAAGAAAAGAATGGTAAAGACAACCCTCCTGTGGATGACACAGTCCCAGCAGATTACCATCATTCCAGGATGCTGAGGCCTCATGCTGGGAGGTGACATGCTGGCCACCATGTTCTTGTGCTCCAGGAGGTTGCTGGGTGTGAGCCAAACATGCCGTCCCTGCCCAGGCTGGGGACCTCTCTCCTTACCTAGGAATCCCACCCAGAAAGGGTCAGATGCCTTCTCTTGTCACTTCTAGAAGGACAGTGGTATCCAGAATGTCAGCATGAATGGACTGCCTGGTGGTCAGTTCACCTTAGTCAGTTACCAAGTTCACCTTACTGGGACCAGATATGGGTTCTCGACTCTCTTGTTCTGTCTTAACTGGCCCTCTTCCTGGTGGGTACTGGCCTGTCAGTGCGGGCAACAGTGCCAGGCTCCCAAGGCCTGTTTCTGCATCTGGACACCAGGACTCTTAGGTTAAAGCGGACGTCGGGCAAATGAGAGGTCACCTCAAGCTGCCAAAAGCTGGCCCCTGGCCCTCCCACGCTGGTGGCAGGCAGAGCGAGAGTAGCATGCAGTTCTTATGTTTGCCACCAGATGGCACCTCAATCCTGCAGACCAGGCACGGGTGCCTGGGGCCCAGTGCCCAGGGCAGAAATAGAAGAGTGAATCCACCCAGGCTGAAACTTCTGCCAGGGAAGGGCAGAGCAGGGGCAAAGCTTCCACCCTGGCTTGAGTCTGTGGTTTCCATGATGGGTAACCATGTGGTCACAACTCTCGCAGGTTTGAGGGTATTCCTCTCCCCACTGCTTCCTTTGAAGTAAATTATCCTAGATGTTCTCAGCACTGTGCAGGGGTTCCGCCATCTCTCCTGTGGGCAGCTCTGGATCGGCTTTCCTCTGCTACAGGGCAGTTAGAGCTGGGATAAGGAGTCTCGCAGCTATGTGAGCAGGGAAGCTCAGGGTGGTCCCAGATCTTTGACATCTTGGCTGAGAATGGCCCAGGGGCTCCAAGCTGTTCTTCCTGAGGAGCAGCACGGATTTCTAGGAGGGTGGCGATCACCCACCAGGGGATGGGCACCCAAAGCTGCTACTCTGCGGTTGGTCTGGGGTGGAAAACCTGGAGCCTGGAGTGAGCACAGTGTCTGAGGCTGCATCTTACGGCCTCGGGGGGGACACACACCTTCAGTTGTGTGCTGGGGACAGGACTTTGGGAATTCAATGTAGAGCTCAGAGCCTACTCTGCCATTTTCCTGACCTTCATCAGGACTTTTAGCTGTGGCCTTCTCAGCCCAAGTGACTTGGCTTGGCTGATGCCTTCAGGCTCTGGGCAGGGCTCCACCTCAATCCATAGAGCCTTCCTGGGATGGGGCTCCAGAGGACAAGTCAGAAGCGGAGCTGGTAAGCCCAGTTTTGTCTCCTCCATAGACTCTAGTACATGTGTACCCCGTGGAGTGGTACTGTAGTAGCCCCTTGCCCCAGCATGGTTCCCGTGGCCGGAAGTAGACAGGCTGCACACTGCTCTTACCATGAGACTCCTTCAGAGCCTCCAGGTAAGTCTTTGGGTGACAGAGGTTTTTCAGGATGAGGGAGGACCGAGAAGGAAGGGAGGGTGATGGAGAGGGGGGCACATTGGCTGGTGTGGTGCCTCCAGCCCCTCAGAGTGGTGACTCCCCATTTCACTTCCCATGTTCCACCAAAGACCACCTGCCCACTGTAGAGGAGGAAGTCCTGCCTTGCTAGCCAGAGTTCCAGCTCCTGGTGACTCTAGCCTTGGAGCCTGAGTCTGTCTAGATGGCCACGATGGGACACTGCTTTTTGAGTCACCCTTCCTCTCACGCAGAGAGCAGATCTTCGTGTGCATGCGCTGGCCCTTCCCCACTCTGGTCTCTTCAGGGGCTTCTCTCTGTGCCCCGCTGTTTAAAGCTGGTTCTGTTGAACACCGAGGGCAAGTACATAAAACGTACCCCTGAGTCCTGGGGCCTGCAGTCTCCCCTCCCTCAGCCAGCAAGAGCCATGGGAATTGACCTCCCAGCACAGTGCCCACCACGGCTGCGAGCCCTCGGAGGATCCTGCAAACTTTTCTTCCATCCGCCACACACCCACTTCCTCCCTCTCACACACAGCCCAGTCCTCCTGGCCACTCCTGCATGGGAGCACCCTCAGCAGACCCTCACTTGCCTGACTTTGAAATGTCTGTGGACCAGGTGGGCGGGCCCTGGGCCTTTCACCAAAGAAGATGAGTTCTGGTCTCACTATGCTGTGTGTCCCACCTTCAGGGCTCCCCTTTTCTGCTCCCGTTCCTCTCCACTCTCACACACCCTGCTCACTGCCCTCCCCCCCAGTCTTCTGCCTCACTACCTGCTGTCCCAGTCTCTGCCTGGATCCTCAGCCTCACTTCCTCCAGCTCCTTGGATCGTACCCCCTAGCAAGCTGCTGGGCTAGAGGCTTCAACCTTGTGTTTTGGAGGGAGCATGGGCTAAAAGTTCGCCTACCCCCCCAGCCTCACCCAGTCAGCCAGCGGAGACGCCAGCGGAGACGCCAGCCACCCCACCACACACCCCCCTATGACTGGTGGCTGTGTAGCCACTCAGGCTAGCCAGGAGCCGCCAGGCCTCCCAGGAGGCAGCAGCGTCTTCTCGCTGAAGCCCGCATCAGTGATAAAGGGCAGTATCTGTCCCTCGCTCATGTTCCAGAAGCTGCTTGCAATACAAGAGAGATGTTTAATTTATCTCAGGAACTAGGCGCGAGTTATAAAAATGGTAATTTCTTGGAGATTCAATTACGTGTTTTCATTGTTACCCCAGTAATCAAGGAAACGATTTCTAATGATAGGCCGGAAGATAGTACCGATCTTGGAGGGAGGATGGGGCAGGCAGGTGATGAGGGACCAGAAGGACAATGTCTATAAGCAAGCGGGACCACATTTCCCCGTGTATGGCAGTCCCTGCAGCCATCCGGGTTCTCCGTCTCCCCACCTGCTAGTGAGCCCACCTCTGGAGAACTTCATCTATCTTTGGGGCCTCTGCAGGAGAATCAGGGGCTCCTCGGGGAGGGTCTTGGACCTGTTTTTTTTTTTTTTTTTCCCCAAGTGATGTCTCAGCTCTAAATAACATGGCCAGGATTAACATTGCTGGCAGCCAACAGTGCCAGGTGATTGGAAAAGGGGTTTTATGGCCCCTTGGGTAAAATTGAACTTGCATCTGATGTGTGTGTTTCCAAGATGGGATTTTCCTCCCTGGCAAATGAGGCACGTTCCCACTAATTACAGCAGCCGCTCCAGGCCACTCATCACACACGGTAGGCAAGCACTCATTGAGGCTGGGCCTATGCCGCCTGGGGGTCAAGCCTGGGTCACCCACAGGAGGTGTCTGTGCAGCCAGGAGAGGAGAATGGATGTGATGAGGCTAGCCTAGCCGAGCACACCAAGGAAGACACATCTGAGGTCCAAGCTAATGGTGCTGCTTGATCTCATTGGGAACCAAAGGCACATCACCCAGCTGGATCCAGGGTAGAGCCCTGGACATGTGCAGCAGGACCTGGAGTCTTCGGCTGACGGCGGACTGTGTACAGCTCCTCCTGGGCACCCCTACCTGGCCTCCAGGCTGCTCTGACTCCAGCTCCCTCAAACCATTGCCAGATTGGACCCAGCAGGAGCAGACCCTGCCTTCATCCCTCTTTCAGGGCTTTTGACTTCGGCTGTCATCCTACCACAGGGCATGGGGACACAAAGCCACCTCCAGGTAAGCAGGGAGAGGCCCTTGGGTTTGGATCAGGGTCTGGGGAAGGAAGACAGGTCTGTCCTTCTACATAGAGACACAGGGACACAGGCACTATCACTGACCCTCCCTTCCCACCAACCCAGGGCAGATGCTGTCACCATCCACTTCACAGGCTCGGAAGGGTTTATCTGGGGTCATAGTGCAGATGAGCAAGAGTGAGTTGCTATGGGCATCGTTGAGGGCACATGCCTTGTCATTAAAGGATGTAAGGGGAATGCACTCTAGGGGTGCTGAGCAAAGCCACTCCACACTACTGCTTCTGCCAGGCCCTGCAAAAGGTGTGTGTGTGTGTGTGTGTGTTTTGTGTGTGTGTATGTGTATGTGTGTGTCTGTGAGTTTTGTGTGTGTGTATGGGTGTGTGTGTTGTGTGTCAGTGTGTGTCTGTGTGTATGTGCGTGTGTTTTGTGTGTATGTGTGTGTATTGTGTGTGTGTTGTGTGTCTGTGTGTGTGAGTGTGTGTGTGACTGTGTGTGTGGTATGTGTATGTGTGTGTGTCTGTGTGTGTGTGTTGTGTGTATGTGTGTGTTGTGTGTATGTGTGTGTGTGTATGTGTGTGTGTGTGAGTGTGTGGTGTGTGTGTGTGTGTGTGTGTGTGTGGTGTGTGTGTGTGTGTGTTTGTTTGTTTTGAGACACTGTTTCTCTATGTAGTCCTGGCTGTTCTGGAACTCGATTTGAAGACCAGGATGGTCTCAAACTCAGAGATCCCCCTGCTTCTGCCTCCTGAGTGTTGGGATTAAAGGCGTGCACCACCACTGCCCGGCTCCCTCCAAAGTTGTAATTACCAGTTTCCAGTGAACCCGAAAGGAGGGAGAAGAGGGATGACTCCCAGCATCCTGAAAGGGGACTTTCCCTAGAGTAATTACTTTTCATTCACTTGCAGTAAACACTAGCCTATTTTTTCTCTTTCCAATAATTGCACTTATTTATTTTTAACCAAGATTAAATGTTTTTTTTAAGCTCAAGATACTCTTAACTGCCCTGTCAAGATCTGTCAGAGCTCTGTTCTTCCTACCTTCAGGAGCAGCCATTCTGGGAGGCAGAGGATGTGCTTGTCTGGGGTGCTGGGTCTTTACCATCACTTCTGTGGCCAAGAACATGATTACCTGTACCACCATGTAACCTTCATCACTTCCACCACTGCTGTCACCCCCATCATCATCACATCATCATCCCTACCTCGATCTTTCCCTCCATCACCACCTCCATAACACCTCCATCACCACCTCCATCACCACCTCCGTCACCA